CTCTCTCTCTCTCTCTCTCTCTCTCTCTCTCTCTCTCTCTCTCTCTCTCTCTCTCTCTCTCTCTCTCTCTCTCTCTCTCTCTCTCTCTCTCTCTCTTTCTTGTGTTTTTGTTTTTTCGTCGGAGGCTTTTCGGAGGCCAGCTTCCTCACCTGTACGCTGTTTTTACGAGACATGTTGGGCGATCACCGTGTGTCCTGCCCGGGGGTCTGCTGGTCGACTGCAACGCTGGAGGAGGATGGAGGGTAAATGAAAGAGGATGGAAGAGGATGGACGGGAAGTGGAAGACGTTTGATGGGGCAGAAATGGGGGATGGAGAAATGGAGGACATGTTTTTGTTTTTCTGTTGCCCGTCCCCCCTCAAAACTAAAGCAAAGCTTCCGGGGACCCACGGGCCACAAGAACGGCGACCAGGCTGGGCCGGAGATGAGTTGGCGCCTCACGCGCCTTGGCTCGTGCATGGGAACGCGCGACGGAGGCTGCCTCATCACTCCGCCGGCCGCTGCGGCAGCCAAGACAGCCAAGCGGCGCTTGCCCTGGGCCGGGAGCTCGCTGTCGGCATTGCTGAGTGGCGCCGCCGCCGCGGGTGCGCAATCGCGAGCGTGTGTTGTTGATTCTCTTAGCCCCACGGACAGCACATCTGGGAATCGGACCCAGTAATTATAAAGAAGCCGCGCCACAGCTGGGAGGTGGGCCCAGTACAAATAGGCTGTCCCTGGAAGCTGGCCAGGTTAAAAACAGCTCTGTCAAGACCTCCGTGTCGAGAAGGAGGATTAACAAAAAAACGCGCCCGAGAAGAAAAACAACAAAAAAAAAAAGGGACAGTCCCCAGTACCAACTGTCAGCATCAGGGGGGCGGACCCCGGCACCAACCGACGGGAGGACAGTCCCCGTCACCAACTGTCCGGACTCAGCTCCTGGTGTCGGGCAAAAACTGCACCCGAGCCCGACCTGCGGCACGCAACCCCCGGCGACCTGCAGCCCTGTACGACGCTCTGCCGTCCAAGGTCCTGTCTTTCCTGCCCGCGGAGCCCGCCGCCTTTTGCCGGGACATCCTTCTAGCAAACTTGCGCCGGGCAAAAAAAGGCGCTGCCTCAGGACCCCCACTCCCGCCAAATCAGCGCGGCTGGTGCTTCATACTGAGGTTGATTCGGATCGGTTCTGGAAGGTCGCCGAGTGGCTTGCCCAGGCAAAGGTCCCCGGAAATCGTGTCGGCTCTTGGATTGGATTGCCTGGTCGCTCTGCAAAAGCCGTCCGGCCGTGTCCGAGGCATCGTCAGTGACTTCTTCCGGCGGCTGGTCGCTCGAACCTTGGCTCAGCAACACGCCCCCGTTTTTCTCGAGGCGTGCCGCTCACCAGTTCCCTTCCCACCCGCGCTGAAGCGGATTTGTCCGTCGAGCTTCCTGAGCTACTGTGCTTTCTTTGGATGGGGGTTGGTGTCTTTGACACCGTGTCGCGGCGGGCCATGCTGGAGGCGCTCTTCTACGCCCCCGCGTCTGAGTTCGTCTGGCATCTGAAGACGGGCGAGGAGCGTGCGCTGAACCGATGCGAGGGCGTCGAGCTGCTGGGCCGACGGGTGGGAGGCCCTGCTGCGCGGGGGCTAAGGAAGGCGAGCCGACAAACACAGGATCGCCAACAGCGAGTTCGGACATTCCAGAAAGCTCCCGGCCAGAAGCGCTCCAGACCCGCGTTTTGCCGTGGCGCAAGCGGATGCACGCACGGCGCCACAAAGTTCCACACGATGAAAAAGGAAGATAAAGGAAACGAGTGCGATCCGGCCGGGCGACGAAGTAAACATCATCCAGGTAACCAACAGCAACTCGTTGGGTTCCAGGCAAGCTTGGACTTTTCGCAAGCGCGTCCCGCACGCCAAGGGAGTAAGGCGTTTGCTCTCCGCCCCGAGACGTGCGGCTTAGTTGATCGCTTGGTGCGCCTCCGGGCACTCCGCGCGCCTCCAGCCGTCCGCCGCGCGGCCGAGGCGGGTTGGCGCCGCAGGTGGTGGGCACTGCTCAGCGCCGCCTTGCAGCGCGCCCTCGCTTCCACTCTGCTCGGAGGGCGTTGGCTTTCCCCCGCGCGGCCGGCTGCGCAAGGCGAGCCCAACCTCGCCGATGTCCTTGCTTTGGCCGGCCCGTCCGGGCCCAGCCTTCTGCCTTTGCGCGGCTGGTCGCCACGTCGGCACGCGCGCGCTTCGTTCGCCTTTCTCGGCGGCCGTTTCGGGTGGGGGGGGTTGATGCTTCCCTGGGTCTCACTGCCGCTGGACGGAAAAAGGCGTGCGACCAAAAATTAAAAACAAACAAAAACACCTAAATTGTCAAACAACTTGGGACCCCTTGAGCCCGCTCACCGTTTTCCCCTGCAATGCCACAAAAGTCCCACCCGCACGGCGTGAAACTCCTCGGCAACAGCACTCGACTCCGGCAAGCTCATGGACTTCCTTCGCGACTGCCCGTCGTCGCCTGGGACGCGCGCGCGAGGCACTGTGGTTTTCGGTTCTTGGGTTTGCGGCGCGTGCTGCTTTGGTCGCAAGTGTGGCCGCTCGCGAGCCTTGTGTTCTTTAAACCCGCTTCCGTCGAGAACGGCGTTTGGACTGGGTATGCGGCGCGACTCGTACAGGCAAACTTGGTGCTGCGACATCGCGCCGCTTCACCCCGGTGGCCACACATAGCATCGCGCCGTTGAACTCACTGTGTTTTCAGCTGGCTCTTCCGCAGCTCTTTTTGAAGTGAGGTTGTTGGTTTGGGTTGGGGTACGCGAGGGTTCGCCCTTGGGGGGGGGGGAGTGCATGGCTTGCGTGCTTGCTGAGCAGCAAACTGGAAAGCGAAACGGGCAGACGTTGGCCCAAAAGAGGGTGCAGAAACATTTACGCAGTGGGTGGAAGGCGCCCAAAGCTTAAATGGCACTATCCACAGGCGTTGCTTACTAATTAAACCGATTAAACTTCAGTGTCTCTTGTTGCTGGGTGGCCCTGCGCGCTTGATGCTACCAGGGCCCGGGAGGCAAGCAGCATAAAGATACAATTTCTCATGTGCAGCGTAACATAGCACGTTTGGCCCGGCAGCTCTACAATTAATTCTGCCTCCAATTTTGCTTGCAGAGGTCCAGGCTCATTTCTTGTTAAACATTTTCACGGTAGCTGGTGCAGGGTCGTGCCCGGTCATTGCCATGGCAGAGAGAGCAGCGCCATTTCTTGCGCGAAGCAAGCGCTTGAAACCACAGAATGTCTTTGGATATTGGCTGCTTGGCCGCGATAGGCGATATGGGTCAGCAACTGGCTGGGTTTGTAGCAGTCTCGCTTGTGACGCTCAGGCCAGTGTGGTCTGAATGCGTGCCGCTGGACGCAGCAGGCAAGATAGATCCCGTGCGCATCTTGGCCTGGAAAGGTCTCATAGTCAAGTTGGGTTAGAGTTCTAAGTCAGTGCGTGTGAAAGGGGCTGTGTGGCAAGGAGCAGCCGCCAACATCATCGCTGGCTGCATTATTGGAATTCGGCAAACGTTGACGGGCATTGTCAGCGCGACGCTGGTATACACTGGCTCGGAGTTTTTGGAAATCACAGAGATGTTTCCCTTTGGCATTTCTATGATGTGGTATTCAACAATGTTTGGCTCGGCATTCTATGCGGTGTTTGGCCGGTTGCAGTACAACACCAGTGCCACACAGGAAGTGTGTGCAATCCTGTATGGGGCCATGGCGCAAAATGCAGCCATGGCACTTCACAGGGCAGGACGTCACAGCCAAATTCAGCCTACAATTCTCGCTTTGATCGTTTCAGGGACATTCCTCACAGGACTCTGCAGTGTCCTTCTGGGCAAACTTGGCGTTGGAAAACTGATGCTACGCTTTCCAACTCCCGTCACCAACGGGTTTCTTGGCACCATTGGGTTCTTCCTGGTTCGAACAGCGCTTCAAGTATCTTCTGGTGCCTTGGTGACATTGATTGACCGAGCGTTGCATGTTTGAGCGTTGCCTCTCGCTGCGTTTCTGTTGGTTCTGCAGCATGCAAGGTGTGCAATTCCAGTACTTCTACCCAATCAACTTCAAAGCCTTTTTTGCCCCTGGCAACTTTGCAAAGGTGCTATGCTTGTTTGCCATGGTGGCTTTGATTCGGCATGGGCCAGCACTGCTCGGAAAGGTGATGCCAGACAGATTGTTGATGCTCACCGGCCTATTTTGCCAGCTTTTCCCTTTGGCGCTGTTCTATGTGATTGTTTGTGTCGGCCGGATTCCGATGGATGTGCTCAGTCAGACTGGCTGGACTTACCCAACCCAAGGCGCTCAATCGTTTGTGAGCCTTTGGACAACCTATAGTCTTTCAGATGCAGACCCGAGCGTTTTGCTGGCCAACGTGCCCTCCATGCTGATGCTCATGATGATGTCTGTCCTTTGCACCATGACCGGCGTACTGGGCATCACTGGGAAGTTTCCTATGGGGCCAGACGGTGATCCTTCTCCTATGGAGGTGGTGGATTTCAACGCTGAGCTTACCACAGTGGGGTTTGGTTCCATTCTCACTGCTCTGTCAAATGGCGTCGTCACCTTTCACCGCCTAGGAAGCTCTATCCAGCTTCGCGTGGATGGCGGCACACACCGCCTGGCAGTTCTCACTTCCTCCTGCTTCGTAGGCACCTTCTTCTTCACCAGCCTGCCCTTGGGCCACTACATCCCCAAGTTTTTCCTGGGCGGCTTGTTCATGGGCAGCGGCATCAGCTTCCTGGAGGGCGCCTTCCTCTCCTTCCGCAGCTTGCCGCCTCAGAGGTTTAGGTCGGCTTGGTCGGATTGGGTTGGGCTGTCGCCTTCGGGGCTTCGGGGGGGGGGGGCGGGGAAGGGGGCTGGGAAGGGCTGGGAATCCAGTGCCACGCTTGAAGGGATTGTACAACGACCCCTGCCAGGGGCTACCGGTTGCCCTCCCCGCAGTATTGGATTACTGTGGCCTGCATCTTGGTGGCGGCCTGCTCTTCACCATTCGAGGGCATTGGCGCGGGCCTGGTGCTGAGCCTGGTGATCTTTCTGTGGGCCTTGCGCGAAAAATAAGCTTTCCAGTTTTTGGGCTCTGTCTTGATTGGGTCGAGCCGCATGGAACCAGTGAGTCCGTGCCAGGTGGGACAGCTCTCAGTCCTCGCCAGTGGAAAGCATCTCCACGGGCAGCCGCATTGTGAGCCGCACCTTCCGGCCCATCTGGGAGCTGGAGGCGCTTTGTTTGCAGGGCCAGCGGGTCCTGGTGCTCTACCTGCAGGGCCAACTCTTCTTTGGCTCGGGCCAGACCTTGGCGGCCAGCTTGGTGGAGGCCATCGAGGCCAACCTCTCTGCCGACAGGCGCGCGTTCAGACGGGTTTGTCTTCCTTGGCTTGTGGCTTGTGTTTGATGTGGTTGTGTCTGTGTGTGTGTGTGTGTGACAGTTGTGTTTTGTTCAGGTAGGCTGTGGTGTGTTTGCGTGTTCGTGTGTTTGTTTGTTTGTTTGTTTGTTTGTTTGTTTGTTTGCTTGTTTGCTTGTTCGTTTGCTTGCTTGTTTGCTTGTTTGTTTGTTTGTTTGTTTGTTTGTTTTTGTTTGTTTGTTTTTGTTTGTTAAGTTTGTTTGGTTGGTTGGTTGTTTGGTTGTTTGCAGGTTTGTTTGTTTGCGTGATTGTATCTATGTTTGTGTTTGTGTTTGCGTTTGTGTGTTGCGTGTTACCACCGTGAAGTACATGGCACGTATAATGCTTCTTGCTTCTCGGAACACGGCCTATGTGCTACCAAGCAAGACGCAGCCCGGGAGGCCGCCGCTGGAGTACTGCATTCTGAGCTTCGGCAAGGTATCGAACATTGACGCATCAGCAGCAGAGCAGCTGAAGCTGGCAATAAGAAGAGTTGCTGAACACGGGTGCCAGGCAGGGCGAGTGGGGCGAGTGGTTGGAGAAAGAGCTTTTGCAGAATGCCGTGGGTTTCCTTTTTTTTTTTTTTTCCTACCCAGTAAGTTATGCCAGGGTTTGGGCAAGGGAAGAAGAACGATCAGAAGAGGTAGAAATAGATGCGGCGTGCGGCAGGGCAAGCGGTTCAGGTGTTTGCACCATGCTGATTGGTGCATTTGTTTGGGGCTATCATAGGCTATCACCCAACACTGGCGAGGTGATATGCTGCCGGATGAACTCCCAAGTCTTCGATGCGCTTTCCGCCTTGAAGGTTGTGAAATCACCCAACGCTGATTTGCAGCAGCTGTTGGGTCTTGACGATGACGTTGCCACGGAGGAGTGCGATTCATGGGCCGCGTTCGGGTTTGGTTGTCCGGCTAGCTTGAAAACATGGATGGCCAATTCAGGGTCCCATGATATAGGCCGTCTTGAGGTCCTGAATAGTATGTTTCCCTTGAGATGAAAAGTGGGCAAACAACAGCGAACAGATACTTGTACCGCATCAAACCTTTAGCCTTCAAGTTTTTTCATGCCAATAGTTCCAGTTCTTTAAGTGGCCCCCAAACCATACAGTCGCATGTAAATCCCCAATAAACGAAAGCCAAACAGTCACACACAGAGGGTGCCCCACAAGAGCCCCTGATCGTCTGTAATCTGACTGTGTCGGGGTCCTTTTCCATGGCAAGCATTTTTGTATGAGTGTTTTTTTCCTCAACAGCTGAAAGCTTTGGGGTCTCAGCCCAGATAGGCTCCGGGGTGGTCCGGGGCGGCCCTGAGGTAAGGTTCCACCAGGGTTCCACCAGTGTTCCACCACGGTTCCACCAGGGGCTGCGGGGTGGTCCGGGGTGGTTTGAGCGAGGGTTCCACCAGGGTTCCACGAGGGTTCCACCAGGTTCCACCAGACTCCACCAGGGCGCCACCAGAGCTCTACCAGGGTTGCACCAGGTTCTGCGAGGGCTGTGGGGTGGTTTGGGTGATGTGGTCCGGGGTGGTTTGAGCGAGGGTTCCACCAGGGTTCCACGAGGGTTCCACCAGGTTCCACCAGATTTCCACCAGGGTTCCACCAGAGCTCTACCAGGGTTGCACCAGGTTCTGCGAGGGCTGTGGGTGGTTTGGGTGGTTTGATGAAGGTTCCAGGCTGCGGGGTGGTCCGTTTGAGGAAGGGGGTTCCACCAGGTTCCACCAGGGTTCCACCAGGGTTCCACCAGGGGCTGCGGGTGTTCCAGGAGGGTTCGACCAGGTTCCACCAGATTTCAGCAGGGTTCCACCAGAGCTCTACCAGGGTTGCACCAGGTTCTGCGAGGGCTGTGGGGTGGTTTGGGTGGTTTGATGAAGGTTCCAGGCTGCGGGGTGGTCCGGCGTGGTTTGAGGAAGGGGGTTCCACCAGGGTTCCACCAGGGTTCCACCAGGGTTCCACCAAGGTTCCACCAGGGTTCGACCAGGGTTCCACCAGGGTTCCACCAGGGTTCCAGGGTTTTATGAGGTTCCACCAGTTTCCTCAAGGGTCCACCAGCTGTGATGCGGGGCGGGCTGGTTTGAGGTAAGGTTCCATGAGAGGGTTCCACGAGGTTCTGCGAGGGCTGTGGGATGGTCCTGAGGTTTCGCAAGGTTCCACAGAGTTAATGTGTGCAAGGTTCAGTGTGTCGTGCGCCCGCCGTCTGAAAAGCGTCGGAGCAGTAAAATGAGGGCTCAGAAGATCGCTTTGCTCATGGGCGGAACACTAAAGCAAAACCGAAATCAATGGTTTTCAGCACACTTTCATTGTTTTGTCACCTGCTCACTTGCTCAGGCAACGCGGCCCGAAATGTTGGCGTTTTTGCAAATCAGATCACGTTGCAGTAGAGTAAATGCTTGACATTGCTGGGTATTTCTTGGTGGGCTTTGGGTTCAAAGAATTCAAAAACGCTCCACGAGGTTTCCGCCAGGTTCTGCAAAAGCCATGAAGCGGCCCTGAGGAAAGGTTCCAACAAAGTTTCACGCTGAGTTCTACGAAGGTTTTACAAGGACGGTTTGCAAGGTTCACCGGGCCCAGGTCGGGGCCCGATTGCGCCGTTGCAACGTCGGGGCCCGATCGGCCCCAATTGCGCCATTGCGCCCCAGGCCCCGCCAACTGCACCAAGCTGGCATCGCGCAGTTTTGCTAGGTACAGTTGTAAGCCCGCATCCTAAGGAAAGCCGGCGTTGAGCTGTAATATGGGTGGCTGGGCATCACGGGAGCATCGGGCCGCGATCGGGCCCCGATTGCACCGTCGGGCCCCGGTGCAATCGGGGCCCGTCGGTGCCCGACGGTGCAATCGGGGCCCGACGGTGCAATCGGGGCCCGATCGGGGCCCGTCGGTGCCCGACGGTGCAATCGGGGCCCGACGGCGCAATCGGGGCCCGATCGGGGCCCGACGGCGCAGCGGGGCCCGTCGGGGCCGTCGGGGCCCGACGGTGCAATCGGGTCCCGACGGTGCAATCGGGGACTGATCGGGGCCCGACGGCGCAATCGGGCCCCGATCGGGCCCCGATTGCGCCGTTGGGCCCCGATCGGGCCCGACTGCACCGTCGGGCCCCGGTTGCACCGTCGGGCCCCGACGGGCCGGATTGCACCGTCGGGCCCCCGCGCCGTCGGCCCCGATCGGGCCCCGATTGCGCCGTCGGGCCCCGATCAGGGCGCAATTGAATTGTCAATCTTAGCTTTGCTTTTTAACGCGAGGATTCTGGGAGGGCGTGGTGCTGTTGGGGATATCGCCTGAGCTTATTTTTTTAGCACCGCATTGTACATTTAACAGGTGGTTTATCTGAGATCTGGGAATCTGAGAATAGATCTTGACAGTGCAACATTTGAAATTTGCAATTCTAGATTCAGTACTAGCAACACTAAGTCTAGAATTGACACTTAGTGTTGGCAAATCCAAGTCCACCCCAGTTCCCCCAATTGTGTTCTAAAGGGGGGTGCAAATGACTGTTCGGGGGGGGGTCACATAAGAGCAGGTCCAACATTACTCACAATTTGCACGGCCCAGCTGTTTGCGCAGGATTCCGGGGATTTCACAGAGCAGGTGCAGGCCATGACGCCCTCTTCGCCAGCGCCCAACTCACCTGCGGGGCTCAACTGCTGGACCAAGCGCAAGTCTTTCGCATCCCTCCACTCTGGGGATTACGATGCCTTCGACGATGTGCCTCTTGGGCGGGAAATCGTGTGGCTGAACCTGATCTTTTCGGTAATGGTTTTGGCAGGACTGGAAACGCAAATATGGCTGAGCCATGCCATTTCGCGTATCTCATTTTCATCTCAGAAGGGCAGACACCATGTAAAAACGCGCCAACCCTTGATCTGAGGACAGATGCGTTGGACTACACGGGCGATCGCGTCCTCGAGCGCTATCTTTATTCTTCGCAGCTGAAGCCATACATGACAGAATATCGACAAGCCTGCCGCAGCGGTGCACGACTGGCTAATGCTACCTTTGAGTCCATGAACTTGCTGCCAGCAGGCCTGCTGGAGACATGCGTCAAACTTGCCTTTGAAGCTTTTCCTGGCTTAGCGTTATGAGCAAATTCTAGAATCTTCGCTGGCAAGTCCTTCGTGCGAGGAAATCTCTAGCAAAAGTAACGAACACCTTGTCGTGCATTTGTCCATCGCACTTGAACATTGCCATGATGCACGTTAGGGAGACGTTCTTTGAAAGGCAGTCTGCGAGAGCATGGCTGTAGCAAAGGTCCCAGCATCTTTTCTGCAGCCTTTCATTGACTGGGAGTTTGTTGTGAGCTTTGCAGTTGGGATTGAGTCTGTCTGCCGCCCCATGGAACACAAATTTGCCTTCGAGCTGTAAGCCAAGCTGTGTGGCTTACGGCCGTGCAGGCTTCCTGGGCAAGATGCAGCCTTTCTGCAATGTCTCCCTGGGCCTGACCAGTGGGCAGCGCCTCGCAGATCAGGATGCTCTCTTCTTTGTTTTGCAAGGCTGGGGTTCGCCAGTTCAAATCATTCGAACTAGCCGCAGACATGGCGGACTGCGCAGCAATGGAGGTGCTATTGCGGAAGTTGATGAGCTTTCTGAGCCTAGGCGGCAAGCCCTTAGCCCTCTTAGCAGATGTCCTCAGAACTTGGTGGCTGCCCAAGAGTTAGCAAGCTAAGGATGGTCCAACTGCCCAGGGCGTCAGCATCAAGGGCTTCCAGGGTCGCCGGCAGAAGCGCCTGCGGAAGAGATATCCGACCCTGGGCATGATGTGAGTGCTTGTCAGCTGAAAGAAGCTATGTCATTTATTAGTTTTGGAGTTTGATGCTTATCTCACGATGCCACCCTTGATTAGGGATAAGGCCATGTCCAAGGTGTTTTCTGTGGCCTCGCTAAGCTTTTAAAGGCAGGTGATGCTATTTCCAATAAAAGGCATCATAGGAATAGGTGAGCAGATCACTTTGCATGTTTCCAGTGCAAAGGCCCGGCAGCATTGTGGGGAAATACGAGTTCTTACTCAGTAGCCGCTTGGCACCAGCTGGGCGGTGTCTTTATGGAGGGCTCCGCAAGTGCTGTGACCAAGGCTACCAGAGACTCTGCAACGCCGGTGGGACTCCTGGCCGAGTGGTTTCCAGCCACATGGCCAGACATGAGCCTTTCTGTGCTTTTTCTGAAGGCGCTGAAGAACATTTACGCATGAGTTTGCATGTTTGTCCTGGATGGAAGTCGGTGGGTCGGGCGGACTGGCGACCTGCAGGCAAGTTTGGCTTCACCTCGGAGGTCTGGGTCTTCGCTCGTGCCTCCTGGAAGGCAATCCCGCAGGACCGGGGCGGTTCAGGTGTTGCAGACTGCCATGAAGTCGTCTTGGAGTCGCTTTGGTCCCGAAGAGGAGCTGGCTTCAATCCTCACAGATTTGTCGCATAGACAGCTGGCCGAGGTGGGATGTGCACTGTGCAGCCCTCTCCTGGCTGTTGCTTGTGTACCGAGGAGCGGCAGCATTCCATACTGAGTGACAATTGATTTAAAGTTCTCAGTGCAGCCCGGTTGAGCCGCGGCAAGTGCAGTGTGTGCGCAGTTGGCAGCATGGCGGGGTCAAAGCGGCCTTTTGCCGCTCGCTTTTGCTCTGAGCTAAAAATGCGGATTTGACGCTACTCAGAATGCACTGCTGCACTGTGCGGCTTGCTCGGAGCATGCGCGCTAGGGCTGGGCCCGCTTTAGAGCCACAAAGAAGGGCTTTGGTGAGCAACGGGAGGTCAAAAGATTTGCATCTCAGCTGTGGACGGCAAGCGCCATTTGCTGATGGAGCCACAAGATGCCTTGCAATGTGCCGACTCCAGTGTAGATAGGCTACAAGCCACCCCTCCAGTCACACAAGAACCAGTGGCGCTCAAGCCCCGACCAAGTCAGCTCAAGGAACCCCGCCAGGAACATGAGGGCTAATGACAGTTTCAGAGACCGCTTTTAGTGCACTCACCCAAGATCTGCCACATGGGTTGCGGTGCATCTGCCGCAAAGGCCGGTAATTTGGTGAACAGCAAGCGTGTCCAAAGACATACCTCGTAGTCGGGGAAAGGGCCGGGTCTAAGAGTGTTTGCCGGTCCGGCACCCGGGTTTGAACGAGTTTCATTTGTCATCTTAGTATTTTTGATTGAGGGCTGCGCGTCACTAGGTGAGCAGCCCGGAGATCAAGGCCAGAGCCTGGACTTCCACAGAAGACCCAGAGCTGCGGCGTCTGCTGGACGAGCATGGCATCTTGCCTCAGCTTGGGTGCCTCCAGTTGGCCCCGGTGGTTTTCATGTGACGCCTTCGGTCAGGAATTGCCGAGCAGTTGCCCAACTTGCAGAGTCTTGGGGTTAGCCAGCCAGCACACATCGGGGACCTGTTGGTGGAGGATTTGGAGGAGGTTGGCTTTGAGCTGATTGCAATAGGAAGTGCTAAGAATAGCTTACTGATTTCACGTGAACGCTCGTGCATGTGCGTCCACAACGCCAACTTGCAAAAGCAAACAGCGGTCTTCTGCTGCAGATTTGCCAGACAGCTCGGCACAGGCGGGACTTTCACGCGTGCAAATTCGTCAGCTGCAGCGGGCGGTGTCCAGAGGGCCACTGTCCGATAGCAGAGCCTCAGAGGAATTTGTGTGAGGCGTAGTGGATTGTGCGTGGTTAGGATTGATTGCACATGACAGCGGGATGGTGCGTTTGTCTTCACCAAGGCTATCCTGCACCGCTTTCACCCTCTCGAATTTGCGCGCAACCCGATGTACAGCAACTGTCGACTCTCAAGGAGCGCCCTGACGGCAACGAGTTCTAAGGCGAAGGCCTGATGGTGACGCACCTGGATACCCCTAGGGATGTACGCTTGTAAGCCACAAAAAAGGGTACGGTTTCCTTGTAAATTGGGGTACGCCCCAGGTGCGCATTCCTGTGACATTTGCCCTTCATACGAGCAAAATTCACAACCTGTTTTGTTGCTGCCTCAATGACGTGCTCTTGCAAGGCACGACCACTCACAAAGTTGCAATAAAATCAAACTTTGATCCCCCCAAGAACTGAGTATTGTATAGTGTCGTGTAGTGTATATCAGGTCGGCCAGTGCTGATGCGAGTTGTGTGGTCAGCGTTGACGCAGATTCGGTCAGTTGAGGTCTGGACAGCACTGCGCCAAGCAATGCGGGCACTCAATTCCCGGAGCATGCCATGCAGAGCTTCGACTACCAAAGTCAGTATAGCTTCTTCTTTTTGTGACTGTGAGCGTTCTGTTCTTGAAGATAGCAAGGAGGATCACATCATACCAGAAGACGAGCCGAAGCATCTTGGCTTCGTGGGCGTGGCGAGTGATGAAGTCAGGTTCCAGTAGCATGTTTGGCGATCTTCCATTGTCGATGGGCAATCCTACGACGCACACAGCGAGGATAGCACCGTCACTTGCATGTTTGTGGCATGTTTTGCGCCGGTAATAGGACGTAGCGCCCCAGTTCTGCAGTGAGGCCGGCCAAGCAGCTTCCGCAGCCAGGGCCAGAAAGGCTGCCAGATGACCGAGTACCGACTGACCCGCCAGTGGCGCGGGTTGCGTCACCTAGCCAGGACAGCCAAGCGGCTGAAAACATTGAGAACGAGCCTCCAAGCAATTTGGCAAACGGAGTGGAGAAGAAGCCGCAGCCAGGCAAGCCCCCTTTGTACAAAAATGCCTCGAGCGGGGCGCTCGATGCCAATCGCCCTGTGAAGCCCGCATTTTCCACCGAATCGCCTAAAGGCCGGAGTTCTGACGTGGTGGGACAACCTGCCCTGAGTGGCCTCGATCGTGACTCAGCCGATCTGCCAGCTCCCGCGGATGACATGGAACTGGACTTCAGCGAGCTGCAGTCTGAAAGTGAAGCGGACTTTGATGTCACCCTTCTGCCAGAGCTGGCGCAGCCAACGCCCAGCTGGAGGGATCCTGGGCAACCATTGCCCGAGATCCGGCATGCCACGCAGCAGTCGGAGCCCACAAAGCCCACGAAGCCTATGAGGCCTGGGCTGTTAGATGGTGTGTGTGTGTGTGCGTAACTATGCGCAAGCAAGAGCCATGCCAAGCAACAGAAACCAAGCTTTGGTCAGCAGATCCATGTCCACGGACTTGGTAACCCTGTTAGTTCAAACTTTGGTTGCTTTCATCAACGCTACACCGGTGAACTGTAAGTATCAGCTGTCACCGAAGTCACAATCATTGCCATCACCATCACCCTCACTGTCATTGCTGCAGTGCTACTGCCATGATTCCGCCAGATCGGAGTCGCCACCCCTTCAGCACTTCTTTTTGTCCATGTCTTTTGTTCCAATACTGTTGCTGCCTTGAGCTTTCGAGGTTACGCGGGCGAGCCATGCGTACCGAATAGTCACGGCTGACCGTTTCGCTAGGCGCGTGGAGGAGCCCTTCGGCGCAGGGCCGCAGCCCAGCATCGAAGGCCCAATGCCCAGCTCGCAGCTGCCGCCAGCGTTGCGGCAGCGCCTGGAGGCCCGGGAGGCGCGTTTCTGGCCGCGGGTCAATCGGTTGGCAAATTGTTTGAGATATTTTTGATTTCATGCTCTGGCCTTTCATTGGGCATTGAATGATCGTTGTTGTGCACTTTTGCACGCAGCTTTGTTTCCAAAGTGGCCAGCTAGGAAAATCTGCTGCAGGTGAATGAGGTCCCCTTTGGTCACTTGCGTTGTGCGGGCATGCCATTAGATAATTGTGGGAGCAGAGCCCAAAGTTGCACATGCCCGGATTGTTGCAGAAGATTGCACAAGAGGTTTGATTAGGAATGGTGGCCGCTATTGCGTTTGTTGTCCTTGGTGCTGGCGTTTGTCTGGAATCTATTGCAGCGTGTGTGTGTGTGTGTGTGTGTGTGTGTGTGTGTGTGTGTGTGTGTGTGTGTGTGTGTGTGTGTGTGTGTGTGTGTTGTTGCCCGCTTGTTGCAGGTTGTAAATTGCTCATTGAGAGCTTATTTCAATGACTTGCTTGGATTGCAGAAGGGCGCTCAAGACACCGCGCTTCTCTTAAACACGCTCTTTTTGTTTTATTTTCACGTGGGGCTTGCTTTGTGCCTGTTAGGAATCAAGAAAAGCGCAGCAACGCAAGCGAGAAGGATCTACAGACCGGCTGGAGATTCACGCTAGGCTGGGCTACCAGCCATGTCTCAGTGATACCGCTCCTTTCTGTTGCATTGGTAGCTAGTCGAGTTGAATGCTGCTACCTGTGGTACCCTTCTGAGGGGAATTTCACCTGGCCGAGCAGCGCCGCGAGAAGGGAGCGTTCAGAGCCGCAAAAGCAGCCCAAAGCGCGAGCCTTCTCAGACTGACGTGAACCGACCAGGGAGGCGAGGTGACGTGAGCTCTGTTTGCACGTGCGTGCTGTGGTTGGTTTTGAAACCTTGTTTTTGCCGATTGCAGTAGCGATCTGGTTAATGCCCCTGCCCAGAGGCAGATGTTCAACAAGAATGAGCTGCGGGCTGCAAACCGGGAGCTCTTCACAGATGCAATCGAGAAGTATCAGGCCAAGTTTGCGGCAGCAAACTCCGATTCTGCAACGGACGAGTGCACGCTACTTCCAGGCTGCAAGCCGGTTCAGGTGTACGTCCGCAAGCGTCCGTTATTCTCGCATGAGGAATCAAAGCGCAATGACTTTGACGTGCTCTCCGTGCTTCCTGGTCCCAGCACACACCTGGTTTTGCACAACTGTTTATTCCAAGCTGACCTTCGCACGCCGATGGTCCATCATTTACGCTTCGCCTTTGATCATGTATTTTCTCACGAGGCGGGCGATGAGGAAGTATACCGGGTCGCAGCAGCACCTTTGGTTGAGTCTGCGAAGCGTGGCCAAACTGGCACGGTGCTGATGTTTGGACAAACGGGCAGCGGCAAGACTCACACCATCAAGGCCATCGAGCGCCTCGCTGCTCAGAGCCTGTTTGAGGGCCGCGCCAGTTCGGCAAGTCTGACTTTGGTTGAGCTGCGGGGCGCACGGTGCTTCGACCTGCTGGCACCGCAGATGCCGGAGCTGCGGCTGCGGGAGCGCCAAGGCGTGTTTGCGCCAGAGAAGGCCGTGGAGTTGTGCCTGCAGAGTGCGGACGATTTGATCGCCGCATTCCAGTCCGCCAGGCAGCGGCGCGCCACCTGCGCCACCGAGGCCAACGATGAGAGCTCTCGCAGCCACGCGGTGTGCGTCCTGAGGGTGGGCTCTGGGACCTTGACGCTGGTGGACTGCGCAGGCACTGAGCGTCGCAAAGATTCGGCGAACCACACCAAGGAGCGGCAGCAGGAAGGAGCGGAGATCAACGCATCGCTGCACGCGCTGAAAGAGTGCGTTCGCTTCATGTCCAAGCGCCAGCGTGTACCAGCACATGCCTTCCGTGGATCGGCGCTCACCAAGGTGCTTGCAGCATCCCTGTCTTGCCCGGAGACCTTGCTGTCGGTGATTTGCACAGTGGCACCTGCTGCTTCAGACACCGAGCATACGCTTTCAACATTGCGGACAGGTGCCGCTCTTCGGCCAAAGGCAGCTGGACATGATGTGGACAAGGAGGTCTTGCAGACAAATGCAACAAAGCGAGATCCACATCCAAGGCAGTGGTCCCCTCACCAAGTCCAGTCCTGGCTCAAGCAGCTGCAAGACGGCTTGTTCTCCGCGCCTTGGCCGACACCGGTAGGTAGTTTCATGTTGTCATTGTTTGTTTTGCATTGCTATTTTGGACATCTGCGTTCCTGCAACTAGCCTGTGTGCCACACACACTCGTCTGAGGATGTTTGCGCTGCGATACCTGCAGAGTTCACTGGCCAGATGCTCGTACGCCTCAGCGAGGGGCACTGCGTCCAACTTTGCGGGTCGGAAGGCAGAGGCGGGAATTGCAAGCAAAGCCATCAAGATACTTTGTAGAACTGGTGTGAAGGCAGTGCTGCGGCTTGTTCGCAGCGGGAATGGGATTCGTTGATAGCACAGATTGCTTGGCTGCCAGGGCGCTTGCTTTTCGACTTGCTGCACCAAGCGATGCGAGGCGCTGACTTGGCTCGGCCACAGTGAGGAAAAAGATGGATGGGCGCAAGGTTTGGCACACCCGGGCCTCATGGCTCACCCTGTGGGTAGATCAGGCTGAATGAGGCCCACGAGTAGCTTTTTGGAAGGCGGCCATTGTGGCAGTGTGTGCAGGGTTGCTTGACCTTCAGGCCTGCGCATGTTTTCTTGTGGCTCGTTGTTTTGGTTCTGCAGCAGCTGAGCGCTTTCCGAACCGATCTGATCTTGAGATGCCGAGCCCTGAGAATTCGCGAGCCCCTTTGGTGTGCCAGCAGGGTCAAGCCGACGCTTGACATGAGGTGCTGTATTTGTCATGCGGCTGCTATCATGAGCTTGCTGGCAGGCCTGACTTCTGACCAGACAGATTTTGTGCTCGGTCAGCTTTTTCACGCTGGGCTCGCCAGTTCCTGGCAGGTGCTGCCTCATCAGCGGCTTCACAGGACTGACCACGCGCCAATCGGCATCCTTGCGCATGTGTGCACGGCAAGGCTTGTGGCAACGTATTTCAGCTTTAATATGGACGTACGTGCTGCAACGCCCAACCTTCTCAAAGATTTGTTGTCCGGCATGCGCCCTGCAGCAAGACACATGCTGTGCAACGTTTGTGCATGGCTCCAGGCCTGTGACGCAGAGGATTCCTTATTGGTGCAGCTGCATCGGGAGTCGCGCCTCGGAGCAGTTGGATGTTCGCTTGGGACATGGCAGGTGTTGAGAGGCTCCAAAGATGCAGGTAACACGACACCGACGGGAGAGAACTGCTTGTTCGGAAAGAATTTCAAGCAATACGTGGTCTGGCACCCCCTGAAATTCCGCGGCGTGCCCATGAATGGCCGCGAGATAAGGCACAACAAGACAGACAGTGCCATCACTGTGCAGGCACAATCGGTGGGGTTGGGGGTAGGGGTGTAAGTGCTGCCTTTTTCTGCGGTCAAACAGCCAAAGGTGCACAGGAACAAATGTATTCTGCGCCTTTGGCAGGCATGTTCTTGCCTGCGTACAATTGGCAAACCGAAGCACGCAAACAGGTTCACACAATCACACACGCAAAGGGCACAATGCGAGGAGTGAGGGAGAGAGAACAATGGTATCATGGGATCATTTCTGGCTGGAAGCCAAATCCATTCTTTTTGCGTCATGTGTTGTGCACCCAATTTGACTGGCGTGATTTACTCTCATGAATGCTGGCTATTGGCGGCTGAGAGGGTTGCATTGTTGCCATACGCAGCACGTGTTGACCCTGCACAGGCGGCTGCACAAGTCAGACGAGATTTGTTGACATTGCAAGACTTCCAAAAGAATAGCAACGCATGCTATGACCGCAGCGTGGGCAACGGCTGGGCTGTCGTCGACGCGCACTTTCATGCTCGCCCCTTTGGGGGGCCACCAGTTCCGTTCACTGACCTCTTGGGCTGGTTGAGGAGAGCTGGCATCCTTTTTACTACTCTTTATGGGATAGGCCAAAGGCTGCCCATTGATTCAGAATGTACCTATTACTTGGATTGTCCCGGGACCAAAGTAGTTCCAAGCTTGAAGAACGACTTCTTCAACGCCCAGAGCGTGTTGGACAATGCGGAGGACTTAGCGGCTGACCCATACGGTCCGCACATTTCACTATCGATGTCCTTTCTGGACTTGCACGAACCCAACTTGAATGTGCCAAACATTACGCTTTTGCAAAAGGAGTTCCCAGGCATGTTCAATTGGGCCGGTGAGATCAACCTGGTCAAGCAAGCTTTGTGGAAGAACCTGCAGGGACTACCGGTGGAGCTAGAGTCCATCAAGGAGTGGGAGTCTTTTATGGCGGAGTTCCGAAGGCAAGACATCCCAATGGCCTTGCATGCGGACCTTGGCGATGACAAAGATGGCTTGAAATTTCTTCCTTTGATGGATGAGGTCTTGAGACTGTATCCTGCAAACAAGATCATTTGGGTGCACATGGCCGGGATTTCGAAGCAGCTCAATCCCCAGTTGGCCTTGCTTCAGCAGCCCGTAACTATTCAATCTCATGTGAAGCTGATCGAGGAACGACTGCAGAAGTACCCCAAGCTGTTCATTGACCTGTCATGGGACGTTTTGTATGATGAGCTTTACGCATCTCCAACAGAAGAAAGTCAATATGTCAGGCTGATCAACAAGTACCCGCGACGCTTTATCAGTGGTTCTGACCATTTAGCTTCAGCCAGTAAGACAGAGAGCATATATAGTGGCCAGCTCAGTCGCACTCTCGGGCTGGGTCCTGCGGAGGTGTGCATTACCATGCGGACTGCTTCCCAGTGCGTTGTCTTGTCTCAAAGTTTCTTGCACCTGAGGAGGCGAAGTCAACAAAACCAGCGCGATCTATCGCGACCTCAGTGATGATGCCTTTCGACGTGTCGCCCTGGGGCAGAACTACTTCGATCTTGCAGGCCCGCTCCTCAACCCCCATAGGTCGCATAGGTGCTGCGGACTGATGTGGGACCAAGGCCTAGACTACTCCGCGCCGCGGATCTGCGCGGGCTCTCAGGACCAAGACTTGGCGTTTGTCCAATGTCTGCAGCGTAAGCATCAGGACTCGCAGAAGGTGCATGGCATTGCCCTGAAGGCGCTGAAGCTGTCGGCAAGTTAACAGGAACCGTGCGGCGTCATCGGCTGATTTCATTCTTTGCGACGAAGTCCTTTCACTGTCGCTTCGATTTGCTTCTTCTTGTGCTCTAAGCGCACGTCGGTGCAGGCCATTGGGGCGGCAAAGGGGGAGACAGCGAAACTTGTTGCTATGACGAAGGCTGCGGCTTGGACAAGGGTTGCGTGTTTGATGTGCAATCCTACTTGGGTGTGGAGCTGGGGTTATTGACTGCTTTGATTCAAGATTCGGGCGATCACTTGTTGCCAGGCGCTCAGGCCGAACGATGGCCAACTGTCTCTGGAAGACTTTGAGTTTTCAAGCAGCGTTTGCTACAACCGGAACACCTCCTCCCAGTGGGCAGTGGTCGATGCTCACCTGCATGCTCGACCTTTTGGGGGTGCACCGGTGCCGTTTGGCGAGCTCATGGATAGGCTGCGTAACGCGGGCATCCTTTTCACAACGCTCTATGGCATTGGGCAGCGCCTGCCGGTTGACTCCAACTGCACCTATTACTTGGATTGCCCGGGCACACCTGTGACACCCAGCCTGAAGAATGACTTTTTCAATGCTCAAAGCGTGCTGGACAAACGTGGCTTCTGGGACAATGCTCAAACTAGCCCTGTCATCACGCTTGCAATGTCATTCTTTGACTTGCATGCGCCTGAGACAGTGCTGGAAAAGATGAAGCTGTTGCAAGGAGAGTACCCGGGGATGTTCAACTGGGTGGGTGAAATCAACCTGGTGAAGCAGGCGTTGTGGAACAACTCTCAGGGCAAGCCAGTGCCTTTGAATTCCATCAGCACCTGGGAGCCCTTTATGCAGGAGCTGCAGCAACAGGACATCCCCATGGCCATCCACTGCGATGTGGGCAATGATAACAATGGAACACAGTTCTTGCCTCTCATGGATGAGGTGCTGAGACTGTATCCTTCCAACAAGATCATTTGGGTGCACATGGCAGGACTCTCCAAGCAGCTGGATCCCAAGCTGAGGCTGCTTCAGATCCCCTTGGCTATTCAGGACCATGTGAAGATCATTCAGGAGCGATTGGAGAAGTATCCTAACTTGTACATCGATCTCTCCTGGGATGTCCTTTACGATGAAGTGTACAATGATTTCTCAGAGGAAAGGCCGTACATCAGCTTGATCAACAATAATCCAACACGCTTTTTGAGTGGCTCTGATCATGTGGCGGCGATCAGCAAGACAGATGCCGAGTACAGCCTGATCCTCAGGCTTCCCAACACGCATGCCTGTCTGAGAGCCCTTGAGTGCAATATATTTGCAACTTAGCCATTCAGCTCCTAGGGAACGAGTTGGCGAAGACCAACGCGATCTATCGGGAACTGTCTGATGAAGCTTTCCGGAACATTGCTCTTGGGGGGACTTACCTCAAGCTTGCTCATTTGAATCAGCAGCCTGTCCGCACAGCTTCTGGTGCAATACTGAAACTGGTTGCGAGTTGCAACCAAAGGCCAACAACGTCAGATGAAAAACTGACGTCAGAGGCGTTGCAAGAGACCGTGCTCACTCGCAGCGTAGTGAAGGCAGAGGCAGCGCGCGCCAGACATGGGAGAGAGCAAATGAAATGCATGCGATGTTGACAGCCAAGGTATCGGCCACCCTCGATTTGCTCAGAACTTCAGGAAGGCATGGGCTGCATGCCTTTTTGCTTGCTTTGGTAGTTCCAATGCCCTCCATGCACAATGCGATAGGCAAAAGCATGGGGGGGGGGGGTTTGGCGGGTTTCCACAAGGTTACCCCGGACTCTGCAAATGACCCTCCCTGAACTATGAGGCCTATATCATCATCCACTGACAACGGGCCCTCTTTTGACCCTACTCGGCGTGGCAGTTTTGATTTGTTCAATGTTGCTTGTTCCAAGGAACGCCCTGTCATGTGTCCGACATGGGCATATATTTGGCGATTGGCTGGCATCGGAGGTTCTTGTAACTCTAAAGGCACGGCACGCAAAAGCCAACTCCTAAATCATGTACAGATCCGAGGAGTCGCAGGATCTGCGTGTTTTCAGTTGTGTGGCCGATTTTGCAGCAGTTGGGTCCTGTTGACATTCTGCTGCAGCTGGGTGGCGGCACCGTGGCAAAGAAGTCGCCGGAGTGAGCTCGCTCCCAAGCTTCGCTGCTCGCAAGGCAGATCCTGGGTGAGCGCCTGGTCCATGGCGCTGGGGCTAGTGATCTTCACCCTGTGCATGACCTGGATCTTCGCAGAGACGCTCCGCCAAGCCGGGGCCCAGAGTGGCAGAGTTGGCAGAGTTGGCCAGGCAGAAGGGAGAGTTCCGCTTTTGTGAAGCTGATGGAGTGTGGTTGCTTGCCGAGGCATTGGCGACGTTTATTGGACCAGAGGAGACCCCACAAGAGCAGCAGGTGTAATCACACCCATTTGCCAGAACAGCCATGAGTCATGCTGCAAGTTGAAAGCAAATCCTACCGCAACAATTTGATAGCAGTTGTTTGTTTGTTTGGTTTTGTGCGGTCGTTTGTTTGCTTGTTTTGCCCTGTCTTGTCTTGTCCTGTCAGTGTGTCTTGTCTTGTCTTTTCTTGTCTTGGTCTGTCTTGTCTTGGTCTTGTCTTGGTCTGTCTTGTCTGCCTGTCTGTCTGTCTGTCTTTCTTTCTTTCTTTCTTTCTATCTTTCTTTGTCTGTCTGTCTGTCTGTCTGTCTGTCTGTGTGCCTGTCTGTCTGTCTGTTTGTCTCCGTGTTTCCGTGTCTCTGTGTGTCTTTGTGTCTGTCTTTGTCTCTGTCTTTTTGATTGTTTGTCTGTCTGTCTGTCCGCTTGTTTGTTTCTGCGTGCGCGCTTGCTTGTTTTGGTTGTGCTTTGCTTCATGTTTGTGTAACCTGCTAATTGGCGTACGCTTTGGAAACAGGACGTGTCGGCCGCATCTCTTACTTCGTGACCTACTTGTTGGTTGCTCATTTGCGGAAAAGACTATCGCGTATTGCACTTCCTTTGAGGGCATGTCTGCACAAGAAGCTGGACAGGGGGGGGGGTTGGGGCATAGAAGTCGCCAACTCATCGCTGGTGTTGCTGCACAGCGGGCTCAAAGGTGGTAGCTTTGGTCAGCTTCTTTCTTTAGGCGTGGGCAGCGTAGGCAAACGTAGTTTTGGTTGCAGATTTCCCTGACGTACCCCGACAGGTGCCATGGGAGACTTTGTCTATCCACGGCATGGCTGCATCCAGGCACAGGGGCATGCTGCAATGTCTTTATTCATGCCTTCCAAATTTCACAGATCATGGAATCATGGCTATGGTTGGGATGGCAAGTCCAAAATGCGCATTACTGGAGCAAAGTGTGCTGTCTTTGTAGGAGCTGATGCTGAAAGAGGCAGCCTGGACTGCCAAGTTCATCCGCCGGCAGCGGGAGGAAGAGGCGGAGGAGCTGTCGGCCGTCAAGGTCGATTAGCCGTTGTTTGGCAAGGGGAGCTGCAGGGCTTCGTTTGGGTTCTGCGGCAGCTTGCCAAACCCGAAGGTTGGCTAAAGTGTCAAAGATCATGGCTGGCTAATTCAATTTGTCAATCTTGTGCAATCTCGAGGAGCGAGCCGAGAAAGAACGCAACTCCAAATGGGAGAAGGATGCCGAGGTGAAAGCCGCTTCCTGCCACAGCATTGCCCAATACCCCCCGAACCCCTCTCAGAGCACAGTTGACAGCACCTATTTGACATGGCCAATCTGGCCTCGCTGCACAGAATGCCGGCAGGACACCATCGTAAAGTTCCTGAACTCCCCGAGCACGACAGCATCCAAGGCGGACAGCTGCTTGTTTGGGAACGGGGTAGGCCGCTGCCGTGGCCAGGCGAAGCTTGGGAAGGCTTCGCCCGCTGCTCAGCGCCAACCTGAGCGAGACCTGCATTGCAGTCTTGGTGATGGACCGCATGAAGCACCCAAGTTCTTTTCCACAAGCTTGTTTTCTTGTTGCTCTTTTGTTAGGCGACAACATGCTTGAAGATGTCAAGGAGGCTTCGGCCCACCACACGTCTCCAGTGGGTGGGGGGTTGCGCATGCAGGAGGAACCATAAGGCCCACGACTGCTGATGCCGGCGAAGCCGGATGTCTGTCAGTGAGCGTGCGCCTCCCTCACGCTTGCCCCATCAGTGCTGCATGAAGTCGTCTTGTTCTTGCATGTCTGTTCGCCTGCCTGGTGCCAAGTGATGTGGAAGGGTGTGGTTTTGGGGCTTGACATGTTTAAACTTGGTGCTAAATTCCCGTGCTGAACACTGCAGGAAGTTGCGGTGTACGATGTTGCCGTACATGTCGGCTCACAGCATTCGATAGTTTGAGCATCAGCCTCCTGCGCTTTCTTTGCCTCGTACCAGCGTGGCTTGCAAATGGCTGAAGAGGAGGAAGAGGCGCCGAACGTTGGGTCTGATAGTTGCCCTCGTCCCATGGACCCCTCTGAAAATTGACAGCAAGCAATCTTGGAGACGTGAGTCTGGCCGCTGTTTGGTCGCATGCCTGTTGCAAACGGGCGGTTGCTTCATCATGTGGTGGCAGAATGCTATCAGAATAAGAATGAGACGAGGCCAGTGTTTTTTCTTGGGTTTGCATGCCCGCCTCGGCCTCTCTGCTGATGGGCTCAACCGGCGAAACTTGCAATTTGTTTTGCTCGCAATTGTTTAGTGCTGATAGAGGCACAGCATGGTACGAGCGACAATGCCTGGAATGCACACAGGCCAGCTGCTTTTGCTGCTCCTCTGTGGCGTAGAGAGTGCTGAATGGCCCCGCACCAGCGGTGGTTCGGTGATCGGAATTACGTTGCCATCCAGTGCCGGCGGTGCTGAAGTTGATCAGTTTCTCGGGGTTCCTTTTGCAACAGCTGAGAGGTTCCAGCCCCCCGTCGACTTCCGCGGCACCTATCCTGACGGCACCATTCATGCCAAAATGTGGGGTCCTGCTTGTATGCAAGTGGCAACTGATCCATCGCAAACTTACGGGAGCGAGGATTGCTTGAAGGCCAACGTGTGGAGCCCACGCAAGACATCGGATACAAAGCTTCCAGTTATGGTCTTCATATACGGGGGCTCTAACCAGTTTGGCGAAGCTGAGCCATACAACATGACCCTGGTCAGCACTTTGCCTGCTTGTTGATTTTCATCAGCTGAGTTTTGCTCGCCCGTTTCAGTCTCTTCACAATTACGCAGTCGCCACCTGTCCCAAAGCCTAAGGAGCGCGCTGGCTGCTTTCCATGATGTGGTCTGCGTTTCCTTTAACTATCGGACTGGACCACTTGGATGGATGGCATTCCAGGAGGATGTCGATGCCAAAAAGTCCACGGGCAACTGGGGGATCTTGGACATTCAAAGTGCCGCTCCCAGCCACTGCTCCGGACGGGCAGCATTCACTTGCAAACACCCAAGCCCCAGCACCTGCAACCGCGTCCTCACGCACCACCCACTCACCCATCTCGCACGCACATGTGCGCGCACGAGCGTGCGCAGCACGCACGCAAATGCCAACCCACCCACCCACCCGCGCACTCGCCCACCCACCGCACCCACCCACCCGCCCACTTGCGCACCCCCGCACAAAAGCACCCCACCCACACTCACACGTACACCCCCCCCCCCACTCCCCCACACCCCTACACACCCGGGCACCCGCGCACCCGCCCACTCACCGCACCCCGCAGCAACCCGCCCACTTGCGCACCCCCGTACCCACGCACCCCACCCACACCTATCCACACCATGCACACCGCACGCTTGCACACACCCCACACACCCCTGCACGCACGCGCGATTGCATGCACACATGCGTGCACGCTCCTCTGCAAATGCATAAGCGCAAACGCGCACACACACAGACACGGACGCACACCCACACGCAAGCACAGACACACCTACACACCCCCACACATGCGCGCGCGCACAGACACAGAGAGGTACCAACAAGAACATATGGCCGCCTCACGCCCGGACGCCAGCTCATGCCACGGCACGGCGCCGTGTGGGTGTCATGTTTGCAAGTCAAGTTGTTTGAACTTTGGGCACAGCTGCTTTGGCTCCATATGAACAGCTGGGCACTGGTATGGGCCGATGTGCTCCCTCTCCTTTGTTGCTTCTTCTTTCCTGCTGGTGTGTAGCGAAGCGGCTTCCAGGATGACTGAAGCGGGAACTGTGCGATTGCCGGCCTTCTTGCAAGGCTTTATATATGTGCTTTTGGAATGGCCCTAGACGCACTAGTTGCTAGCTGCCAGATTGTTCATCAGTTGGCCCTCAATCAGCTAATCCGGTGGCGTAGATTGAAGGTGTTCCTGTTGCACTGACATAAGGGCTTGGCTTGAATAAAGGTTGCACACGGAGTGTGCAAGGGTGAAGGGTTTTGATTTTGGTTTCATTAAAGTTTTGCTTTGACCCTTTGACTCTGCAAGAGTTGTGACTGAGGTGCGTTGCGCTGGGTGCAAAGGGAGATCGCGGCATTTGGAGGTGATGCTGCCAGAGTGGCAATTCATGGGCAAAGCTCGGGAGCAAGCCGCTAAGACCAACCATGCGAGAAGGTGCAAAGAAACACCCAAACATATACTGTTTGGCACTTGCAAGGAGTCGCAAAAGCCTTTCATGCCGAGTCAATGAGTTGAGTTGATGTTAAATTACAGAATTTGGAGCCGTCTCAGGGCCTCCAAGGCCAACATCGGAAGCCAAGGCCTCGTAGAGCTCCAGTACGTCGCCCCTGAGTCCAATGGCCTCTTCCGCGGCGCCATCAGCGAGTCAGGTGGGGCCTTGGGTCTTTGCCAGTTTCTCCAGCATTGGACATCGCTGGGCCTTGCTCACAGTTGAGGCAGTTTGAGCGCCGGCCGCCTTCCCATCGCACTCACCTCCGCCACGGTCATCGCGGCAAGCGTGGGCTGCCTGACGCCAAGCCATACCGCCAACAAGACCTGCATGGCTGCAGCCGCCAGGTTGAAGGTGATGGGCCACGGGGCCTTTGGAACCAAATGCAAACACACAACCCGACAGGTGGATGGACGCTGAAAGAGGGTCGTGGAACAGAAGACGCATTGGCTACTTCCCAGTCAAATGACTGATGCCCTCATGTGTGCAACTTCTTCCAAAGGATGGCCTTGAAGTTTGCATTCTCACGGAGTAGCTGCAGGTCCCAACCGCTCCCTTCGTCAGAGAACTCCTCATTTCAGGTCTCGGCGGTGAATCTGACGCGCACCACCTACACGGCCCCTTGGTCCCCGGTGGCAGATGGCGTGACCTTCCCAGACACGCCCGAGGATCTGCAATGGGGTGGGGCTTCCGCATTATAGGCATGTGGCACGCTTGCTTTCCTTTGGCATTCTTTCAAAGCCTGACAGCAGTGTTCATGCGGGTTTCCAATTGTAACGCATTCCCATGTGAAATCCACACCATAGCCATTCAGGAGAGCCAGCAGGCATGCTGTTGAATGCATGTTTCATGCTGGGCCCCGCGATGGATTCAGATGCAGGGAGCCCATGCGTTCAGAGGCGCAGTGTGCCCTGCAAGGAGCTTCTGCGAAAAGGTCTCGTGAACGATGCCAGCATTGTCCTGGGCGCACAGACCAATGACAGCAACCTCTTCCTGTTTCGATCTCACACGAAGGACCGTGTTATATAGTGGATTGGGGGCCGACAGGCATGCTTATGTTTCTCAAGCGTACATTCTCATAGGATGGCCTGGATCAGCCCAATGACCGACCTGATGGCGCTCTGAAGCCAGTTTCTGTGATGGCCTATCGAGCCTTTGCAGAATTGGGGCGTTTGCTTTGGAACAGGCCTTGGGCTTGGAGTCAAGTGGTAAATATTTGGCTTGTCAACTTCTAAGCATACTGAGGAGCTGCACTGTTGGCGCAGGTGGGAATGAAGAATTTGATGCAGGCGCTGTCATGGCGCAGTCGGCGGGCCGTGGTGTCTGTTGGCAAGTCCATCATGTGGAAAATACTTCAGGCTTTCAATTGCCCCGGAAATCCCCGGTAATTTCTAGAGCCCTGATCTTTCAAGTGGCAAGGTGCAGGAACGAGAGTGAAAGACTGCAGGCCTTGAGCTTGTATCCGCCGGATCCAGAAGATGGCATCAGGACTGCAGCTATTGCCAGTGGCTGCCAGTGTTGTTCAACATAACCCTGCCATGGGTTTGCACGCAAGGGCATAGTGGGGGAGGAATGTGCACTTGCTCGGCAACGTGGAGTCAGACAAGATGCACTGTGCACTGCGACGACGAGCTTCCTGGTTCAACAAGGCTCGCCCAGGACGTGCCTTCACCTATCGCTTTGATTACTGGCGACGAGCTCAGTTGTTGATGTTGGTGTGTTCTTTGGCTCCACGGCTTCTTCATGAAACGTAGAGGCAAGCTGCTCAGGTACACCGGCAATCCGAACTGCACCGCTGTGCCCAACTTCCACCTCCCCTACCTTGGGGCAGCCCACCAGGATGAGGTCACCTTTGTCCTGGGTCAGCCCAATTTCATGGAGGACGGTAGCTGCTGCGGTGTGTGGGGTCTCACTACTGATGACTGCCCACACCTCGATCGCTGTGAAGCCTGCTATGCCCCGGAGCGCTTTGGTGCAGAGGGCTACCGGGCGTACTTCAACGACAAGGAGTGGAACTTTGCCAGGACAGTGGGCACCTTTTGGACCAATGTGGCGGGCAGTGGTGACCCCAACTGCCGTGATGCCAGCGACTGCCTGCCCAAGCTTCCATGGCCCCAGCACGCGCACGGAGAGATTGCTCAGTCGCTGCCAGGGATTAGCAGATCATTTGGATGTTTTGGGTTCAAGTTGCAAATGTGGCTTTGCTGGCGCCCCGTGTTTTTGCAGAGACTAGCATGTGGCCAGGAACATTGTCCTGAATGCCTCCTTGCCTGGCGGCTCGATGGCTGAAGCAACGCCGCATGGACGACCAGAGCTTTGCACTTTCTGGGACTCGCTGGCCAGCGAACCCTCCAGTGACACATTGTATGCATGAGTTTGCTTCATCGGGGCTTCCGCCCTTGGCGCCTCATTTTCGAATGTGCGCAGTCTGGACTGGAGCATGCTCGGTCGTGGAGCAGAGTCACTTGGGCTCCTTTTCGTGCTCCGAGGGTTTCAGCCCAGACTGAAAGGCGCATGCCCGAGCCATGGACAGCAAGGCAAAAAGTTGAGCTGTTGCCGGTCAAGCTGATGTGTCGGGGGCCTGCAATTAAAAACCTTTGCAGTCCCAGCCTGCACTCGTGCAGGAGCCTCGAAAGGCTTTGTACGTTTCACCACTGGCCGACCCTCTCATTGCGGCCGCTTGGCATGACAACGCGGGGCATTCTAAATGATCCAAATCACCCGCCCCGGCGTTGGCAGCTTCCTGGTATCCAAGGATAAGCTTCTGGACCGAGCCCTTAAGCTTTTGAAGAAGGCCGTTTCTGAGAAGCAGACCAGGCTCGGGAAGGAAGGGCGCACCACATGGCCAGCAAACCATGATGCAGGCGAGGAGTGCCTGAGTGCACCAAAGCAATGCGCAAGGGCCAGAAAGGCATTTGCTTCCTGGCGCCTGGCCCCAGCATGTTTTGGAGGATTTGGAGGTGAAGGCCTTGGATTGCTTTGATTCTGAATGCACTTCAGGCAGCTGATATTTATCCGATGGTAGCTTGGCTGTGGCATATGCCATGTCATGCCTGTGTCATCAGCTCGCCATGCGGAGCCATGCCAAGGATGTTTTTGCACACGTTCCTCTACTTGCTGAGGAGCCGGCAGCGTTTGAGATAGCCGGTGCCATGGTAAGCTTTCGGCCGCTCTCTGAAGCCACAAGTGTCCAATGGTACTTTGGGTTCAAAGCTTCACACGTTCAAAGATGCGGTTTGCGAGCTCGGTGTCTAAACCAGAAGCCCTTCCGAGCTGACGGCCGCTAAACACCGTGCAAGAACACTCGCTCTGAGATCCGCTGCGGCTAATATCTGCTGACTGGTCAGGAGAAGGGTGTCTACTACTGCTATGTCTCTTCCCGGCACCAACTGGGCGCTGCCTGCCAAACTAAGCGGCCAATCAGCCTGGCAGCTTGCCTCCATTCCATTACTCCGTGAAGGGGGCCAGCTTTTTTTTTAAATGAAAGCCTAGGAAGCGAATTGCAATGAGCAGCGTGCTTGACAGTATCTTGTTTAGGAATTTCAGGAATTTTGCTTGTGAAGCCGTTGCCATGCTCAATGTATCAGGTCATGGTCCTGGAACCCAAGAGCGATGCGACCTACGCGAAGACCTACGAACAAGTGCAGCTCCTCATTGGCACCAAAGCTTACCTTGCAGCATAATGTTGCATGCGCCCTTGCGTGCATGGCAAGGGAACTGCCCAGGAACGGTATCAAAGCCATGCACCCTTACATGTGAGGGCGGCTGCCTGTGTCAGCTTCGCGGCATTGGCTGGCAGCATCCCACCGCACAGATTGAAAAGGGCACGCCATGCCGGACACGTGTCCAACTCTTCTGCCGGTTCTGGGCTTCGGCTCGAGTTTTGAGTTGCGGCCAGTCAGCTTTTTGCTCGAAGGCCAGAGCCTTGCAGCCATGGACAGGCGCATTGGTTGATGGGCTGCGGCTCCAGCAGCGGCCCCCCGTGCAAGGATCCCGTACGCCCCTTTGATGCAGCCAGCTGGGGATACCATCGGGATGATAAGAGGGCGCAAACGATGCAGGTGGCACTTCTTCTGCAAGTTAGTTGATATGATTGGCCTTTCGCAATGGACATACATTGTTACATTGTGTGAGCTGCCGCGGCGTGGTTGCTTTTGCGAATTTAGCACTGCTTTGCTTTGCTCTCAGAGCCTGAGGTGAGCTGCCGCATGAGGGCTTTTCCCGCGCATGTGGAAATTGCAATGAGACCTGCACGCTCAAGGAGGGCATTCAGACATGTAGTCTTTGCATCGAAGAAGATGTGTGGCTCTTGGGAGTGCATTAGTATGCATTTTTGTGCCTCTTCGCCTCTCACAGTTGTCTGCTTTGATGGGACTTGAGCTTGCCTAGGGCCGTCTGCTGGAGCTGTGCGAACAACTGCGGTTTCATTGTATGTTTAAACTGCGAGCTGCACGCTGCAATGCTCGGGGACAGCGTGGAGCGGTTGACGGCGGCGTACGCGGCACTTACTACGCACCGGACTTTGCCAACTCCTGCTGAGTCGGGGCCCCGGTTGGACTGAGGTTTTGGTCGGCCTTGTCAAACGGCCATTGTTTGGAAGCAGCGTCAGCAAGCGCTTCGGGCAAGCAAAACGTGGACGACGACGACAATGGTTTGAGGTATCCAGTGGAAACATGTGGAATTTAGCTCACTGGAGAACACCATTGGACCATGCGCGTAGCTGTAGCTTGGTCGGTCTAAGGCACCGCTCTTGAGGCAACTCAGGCGAAAGTATTTGCTGCACCTGCCACATCATCTTACACCTCCCTCAAAGTCGTGCTGCATCTGAGAATGTGCCACTCCATCAGCTAGAAACTAACTCAATGGGCAAACGGTCACTCGACCATCGGCTTCCAACTCAAACAAGTCAATCTACAGTAACAACGTCACGCTCAAAATACCGTGCAGCGCTCGAGTGCTGAAGTCAGTTCAAAGTTCGGGGCACCCCCTCACCGCGAAGAAGTCAATCCACTCTAACGCCGGCACGCTCCACGTGCCGGCTGGATCGCAGCAAGCAAGTGAGTAGTGAGTGATTGAGTGATTGAGTGATTGAGTGTTTGAGTGATTGAGTGAGTGAGGGTGGGGGGGGGTGAGGGGGAGGGGAGGGAAGGGGAGGGAAGGGGAGGGAAGGGGAGGGAAGGGAGGGAAGGGGAGGGGAGGGAAGGGGAGGGAAGGGGAGGGAAGGGGAGGGAAGGGGAGGGAAGGGGAGGGAAGGGGAGGGAAGGGGAGGGAAGGGGAGGGAAGGGGAGGGAAGGGGAGGGAAGGGGAGGGAAGGGGAGGGAAGGGAAGGGGAGGGAAGGGGAGGGAAGGGGAGGGAAGGGGAGGGAAGGGGAGGGAAGGGGAGGGAAGGGGAGGGAAGGGGAGGGAAGGGGAGGGAAGGGGAGGGAAGGGGAGGGAAGGGGAGGGCGGGGGGCGGGGTTGATCGGTGGGTGGCAGAGCAAGTGAGCGAGTGGGTAAGCGAGCAAATGAGTGAGCGAGCGAGTGGGTTGCAGTGAGGCGAGGTCAGATAAGTTGATGTGATGTCAATGTGATGTGACTGCACGGGCGGATGGCGAGAGCTGGGCAGAGGAAGGTTGGAGTGGCAAGCCGCAAAAGTGAACAAATGTGGGAGCTAGTGTAAGGCTCATGTCGCCCTAAGCTGTTTGGCCAGCTTTGTTCGGGCCGCTCAGGTAGAAAAGAGCATTTGTGGCACTGGCCCGTCAGGGACGCCGAAAGGATCCTGGAGGCGCTCTCCCTGGTGCGCAGGGCCATGGAAGGCGACAGCGTTGAGCTGTTGCGCTCTGCCCTTGAAGAGGTGCAGGGCATGGATGTGTTGATGGCCGCCTGGTGAAATGAGCGTTAGTCATTGGCTGGTCCATGCAAAGCTTCACGTGAAGTGCTTGTCGGCACCTTGCCAAGGTCAGGATTCAAGCAGTTCAAGCGTCGGATCTGCTGGCAGACTGGGAAGAGGTGAATGCGCGACTGGAAGCTGCCATTGAAGGCAAGGGCGCTTCAAGTGCACACCCATGCTCCTTAAGGCCTTGATGCAGAAGGGCCAACATGATAGAAATGAAGAGTCCCGAGTCGTTTTTCTTTTTTCTTTTTTTTCTTTTCCCCCTCTCTCTCTCTCTTTGTCTCTCTCTCTCTCTCTCTCTCTCTCTCTCTCTCCTTGTTGCCAGTAACTAGTGGCTGCTTTCACGGCCCCGGCTTGGCACTCGTATGAAAACATGAGGCAGCGGCTAGTTGCTGCGCGAATCGCCTAAACAAATCTAAACATGGACGGACTCTTTTTGCAAAGCTTGCTCAAGCAGTAGTACAGAGTAGCTGTGGCCTTCCAGGCAGCTTGCGTAGCCTAAAATGATGTGGTTGGTAGCTGCAAGGATGTTTCTTTATTGAGCATGTTGAAGCCATAGCAGTATGCGCACCATGACGAGTCTCATTAGCCGGGGACAATCCAATTGAATTGCCAAGGGAAATCACGACAACCCTGGAAAAATGTTTATCGTAGGGGCCCTCATAGTTTCTAATTGGAGGTTGACATCCTCTTCCTTTTGCACACCCTCCCGCATCTCGTGCCAGAGTTGTCATTTTATGACTGCGATTTATTTCGCAAAGTGTCTGGCTTTCCGAAAAGTTCCGGTTTCCTGCGCCCAACTTTCTCTTTTGGGCGGCAAAGGGGGGGCCTTTTTTCGGGACACGTGCAGGCTTCGGTGTGGAGCTGCTGCAGCAGAACCTCGCGGAGGCGCGCTCCGTGGCAGCGCTGCGCCACTCGGAGACCCTGCGGCGTGGGGAGCAGCGCCTGGTGCAGCTGCAGGTGCTGGCCAGGAGTGAGGGTGGGTCCTTGCTTTGAGTTGGCACCCTCCCTCCCACTAACATAGCATTTGCGGAAGGGTACCTGGAAGATCAATTTCCTCTTGAAGCGGCCCTCTGCGAGGTGCTATGTTTGTGAGAGAGATGGTACCCCATTTTTTTTGGGGGGGGAGGGGGGGTTGGGTTTTAAAGAAAACCAAAAGGAAAAAAACAAGAAGCCAAGCAAGATGATCAAGATACATTGGTGCATGCGCGTGGAACTTTGATACATGTATGCGTCATGTACGTGGATTTGTTTCCCTGGGGGTTGGGGTGGTCAGGTCTTGGTGCTTTGTCTATCACTTCTAGAAACCCCGACTCGGGGTTGGGTGGAGGGTATGGCGGCATATTAAGACCAACGTCATCCAGCTACGGTACATGGAAATTGCCACATGTTGGAATAGCCTGACTGGGCATCGCTGCATGCACACATCCGGATTGTGTTGCTCCCTGCATCTGATTGCCACAGTGGGATGCTGCACGCCCGTTAAAGACAGACACTTCCCCAAATGGGGCCAGCATCATACACAAGCGAAAACTGCGTCCTAAGGCAAGGCCGCATTGCACAGGAGGCCTCTGTGGGGAAGCCCTGCCCCCAGGTTGAATGAGGCCGTTGGAGAAGAGAGTCTGGATAGGCTGCGCTTGGCCGTTGCAGAGGCCAACGCCACGCGACCCTGTCCGCATTTTCAATATGCAATGACTTAGCTGCCCATTTGCATTTGATTATTTCTTGGCGCCAATTCGCCAGTCAAGGCAAATGTTCCCGGAACTAGACCCGTCCCTGCAAGCCGCGCAGCATCTCTTGGATAAGCTGGAAGCCGCACATGCTGTTCAGTCTGCGTGGTCCCGGTGGGAGACCTGCCTGCATTCCTATAGCCTTCAGACACATGCGCGCCATCGGCTCGTTCATTCACACCTTCATTTGAGAGTCTTCGCGCGCAGTTGAACTGCAGTGGGCTTTGCAGGACGCCGACGCGCTCAAAGTGGGCCTGGAAGATGCCCAAAGGTTGAGAGCCCTGGAAGAGGAGGTGCTGAAAGCAGCTGAGGCAGGCACCAAATCGTTTGCATAAATAAATGTCCACTGACTCGATTTCATGACGGGTTTGGCCACGCCCTGATAGGCCTTGTTCCCGTGTTGGGCAGGCCGATCTCGCAAAGATGGAGGTCAGGTGCGATCAAGCCCATCGCTTGCAGCGATGCTAAGCTGCAAGTGTTGTCTTCGGAAATGGCGGGCGCACCAGGATTGCTTCATTCATCTTCAGCCCATGTGATTTCAGCAGCGCGTTGCCCTCTCAATGCGACCTCAGGTTCGCAGCAATCGGACTCCTATTGTTGCCAGGGTTGCTATGCACATTCGGCAACCAAGGCGGGGCGAAGGGGAGCTTTTCGCTTGCGAAAAGCCACCTGCCACAGTTGGAGGGCCAAGCCCTAGTGCTTTTTTTGCGGTGGGAAGGGATTAGCCCTGCGACTTTAGCAGGCGGTGGTTTTGGGGACTTATCTTCGCCCAAAGCAAGTTTGAGATGCAAAGGCTTTCTCTGCGCTTGGGAAGTGACGGGACCAAGCTCTTTCCCCAGGAGCTGGAGTGGTACCGCTGTGATCTCTGTGACTTCGACCTTTGCCACCTGTGTTTAGCATGGCGCGCGCGGCCAGCCGAAGCAGAGCCGACAGCAGAAGCAGCTTCCACTGCAACGGGAGCTTCCACCGCGATGGGCCCTTCCACTGCAACGGAGGTTGTGGATGCCGAAGAGTCGGCCCCTACCAACTTGCCTTTTCTGTCCATCGGGGAGGATGAGGCTGGCCAGATGAAGTGGTTCAACCGCATGGCCAGCCAGATGAACGCCAACACTGCCCATTGGGAGCTTTTTCGCTCAGGCTCCTGGGTGCCACTTGGCTCCAGCTTGTCCGGTAAGCTGACCAGCGTCTGGTCCATCGGAACCAAGCGCTTTGAATACACAGCCAACAACAAACAGAAGCACTTGTTCGATTTCGAGTCAATGGAGCAGGTGATTCTGGACACAGACAAGAAGAGGCCCTTGCGCCGTGTGCTCTGGGAAGTGGAGCTTGACCTGGGGTGGTTTCTTGTTGAGGACGACCTGGCCCTCCGACTGCATTTGAACGAGCTTCGCGGCTCCACCTCCTTCCCTTACTCAGCTCGGGGCATGGAGTATCAGATCGACATTGCAAACTTGGAGCAAGTCAACGAGACAAATGGCACCAGGAGGAAGCTTCGCAAAATGTCCGTGGAGAAGACGTCTCCAAAGATGAGCCGTCAGCAGCTGCGCATGTCCCTTGAGGACAGCTTCCCCCAGTTTGCCTGCGCTGTTCGCCAGTGGCTAGTGCTGCGCTGGCCTTGGCAGCAGATTCAAGACTGCAGCATCGATGCGGAGGTATTCGTTTCCACCCGCCTGGCTGAAGAGATTGCCCAAGGCCTCTCTGCCCTGCAGTCGGGCGTGCCACAGCTTGGGAGCATCCTGGAGAACATCGTGTGGTTCGATTTTGTGGATTGGCAGAGGAAGGAGGTTGTCACGGCTGCCCAGGCCTGAAAGTTGTTGTGGAAAAAGGTTCTTAGGTAATGCGTTGAGTTGTTCAGGACAGCTGGTTCTACAGCCAATTTGCAATGCGATTTGATTGCTTTTCCTTGTCCAGGTTGTTGAGGCCATCATCCGGGACTCCCGCTGGCGATGGGGCAGGGCAGGCAGGAGATGCAAGTGCCAGGTGTTCCTCCCACGTGATTACATCGATCAGCCAGAAAGCTGCACCCCCACATTTGAGCCCAACAGGGAACTTGGCAGATTCATGCTACACGGTCGCAGCCTGATCCAGACTGCTACTTTGCAAGAAGCCAGGTGCGGAAGATGCACTGAGCGCGCTTTGGTCTGACCTGCAACTGGACGAAGCCGGAGTTAGCAAGCTGGAGTTTTTGGTGGCAGGCACGGCGAGCAGTTGTGGCCAGCTGAGTTTTTGTGCCTTGTAGATCTTGAGGTGGCTTGGCCGAGGAGTTGTTGCACATCCTAAGTTGCAGCCTGGATTCAGTCGATGACTGGATCATGGAGCAGAAGGTGTCTGTTTGGGATGGGCAGGACTGCGGCATTTGCTTCTGCCCCATTGGAAAAGGCGATGTGGGCCGCCTTATGCGCTGTGGCTGTTGGTTGCATTTCGAGTGTCTGGGCCACGGTCTGCGGGCGACTCCGGCGAACCCAAAGAGAGAGAGAGAGAGAGAGAGAAACGGGGGAGCGGGAGAGGGAGAGGGAGAGGGACACGGAGAGGGAGAGGGAGCGAGGAGCTTTCCGTCAACATGCAAATTAGATGGGCCTTGCCATTGTATGTGAGGTGAAGATCAGGGAGAGGGCCGTGGACGACGAGCAGATGAGCACCTGCCCAGCGGCCTGCGGCAGACCCTTGGGAAGGGTCATCCCGCCCGGTGTGGTGCGCAGGGCTGTTGGCGACGATCTCTTCGCAAGGCTGGGAAGTGTGTTTTGTGCAATGCGCCATGTAGCTTTGCAAACAGCTGCCTCCGTGGGGAGCGCAAGTGCGCTGCTGTTTGATTGAGGTACTTGGATGTGCGAGTGGAGGTGCAGTGGCAGAGGGAAGCTTACGACAGTGGACGGCTTGTGGCCAAATGTCCCGGCTGCTCATTTCTGGTGCTGTGCAATGAGCAGGAGGAGAGCAGATCTTGCTTGAACTAATCTACTGCCAGCGATGGCTTTCAGGCCGTTATGGCTTGGAGTGACGGCCTCAGGAGATGTACTCCATCAAGTGCTTGCGACAGACCTGTAGAGTGGATCGGTTCTGCGCGTACTGCAGCTGGCCTGCATTTTGGTGCCTGGATTGCCGTGTGAACTTACGCCGATGGCTCCGAACGCCTTTATAGAGTCAGGGTCGAGCCGAGGCTCCCTGCCAGCACACCGCCCTCGGACTTGTGAAGAGCACCAGATGGACATGAAGTTTCGGGACGATCGTGATCGTGCAGCTTGGCCATGTTTTAAACGCTTGCGCGAGGTCACAGAACCAAACCTGAGGTCAGGTATGTTGACCTTGGCACTTTTCAACGCCACATTGTTGGATGTAGCTTCACTGTCGGCAGGTGCGGTCCAAGATTGAAGCAGCCTTGGCTGAAGCTCTTTTCAGACGATGCACTGGATGCCAATATCCAACTGAACGGATCAACGCATGCTGCCACATGACTTGCTCACACTGCCATGCGCAGTTCAGCTGGGTTTGTGGCCATGACTACAACCTATGCCGTACATCCCATCCCTGCCTGAACTCGTCGATCTACCTGCACCAAATGCCACAGCTGGCCGCCATTCTGGATGCCCGCAGGCTGCCGCGCACAGATGAGAACGGAAGCGATCTCTTTCTGGAAGCTTGGTTTTTCTTGGGCACTCAGCTCTTCACTTTCGAGCATTGCAGTCTTTGCTCTCAATGACTTCCCAGCACCTTGCACTCAGGAGCTGCGATGCCTGTACCTCCTCTCCATGGTCAAGGACGAAGTTGGCCAGGGCGCTTGGGACTACGCACGCCACGGCCTGAGTTTCGGGTTTGCCACTCCGTGCCTTGTTGTGGCATGGCACGGAAGCAGAGCCCTCCTCCGAGGGTCGAAACACTCGCCTGCCACGATTTTTTTACATTTTGGGTCCCAAAACTCTCACCTGGCATGGGGTGTTCTTTTGCAACCAAGGCGAGCAGAACCCGGAGCTGCTGACTGACATCATCCGGGGGTCCTGGAGTGTGTCCTGGGATGAGGTTGGCGACGTCAAACGGCTCACCCGATTGCTGCCAAAGGCCTTTCCTCGGCTCAGTTAAAGATTTCCAACACTACGCGGTGGCGACCATAGCAGACGCGTGTGCTGACACTATGCCGCTGTTGCCTCTAGGGCACGGCTGCAGGTGTCTTATGCAGTGGTCGCCTGAAGGGCACCGCTGATTTGAGAGCTTCGCAAAACAGCTGCAGACTCAAAACAGCTTGCCTGAGTCGAAGGGGTGTGGCAAACTCAAAGCTGGAAGCTGCGCCTGCAAGCTCTGTGCCAGGTGAGTCTGCCCTGAGCCGAGCTTAGGGCTGAAAGATGTCTGACAAAGGTAATTAGGCCAACACAGGTCATGAAACACACACACGACTTGCATCAATAATCAGCATTTGTGTCATACAAGTTGTCGGACACGGGCCAGACCGAGCACAGCTCAGTTACAGCCATGTAGTGGCCAGTGGCTAGTGCCTGCAGCTTGACGCCCGTTTTGGGACAGGATGCATGCTGCACCAGCCGCCCAAACTGTTCAGATCCGCCAAAGCCAAGCAAGATGGAGCAAGCACATGCGTCAGCCGGGGCCTTCCTGCGCAAGTTGGTATGCAGATGCAAGATGTCGGGCGCCTCATCCGGGAAGCCATATTGGGCCGAGCAACATGCTGCTTGGCAAGTCAACGTGTTATTCTGAACTCACGGCAACGCTCCCAGCCTGAGCGAACGCAATCAATGTGCCACAACTTGCGCTACCAAAGCAGGCGGAGCGAATTTGCAATGACGTGGAGACATTCTTTGGGCCCACTGCCCCGTTGGCATCAAAGTCGAAGGAGCAAACTGCAACACAAGCACAAAGACTTTCTGGATACACCAAAGCGGCAGACGGATGCAGGGTGTAGACCGCAGTGGGGGCCTCAGCTTTGTGTGGGGTTTGTGGTTGGGATCAGTTTGACATGTTCCTGGCTTTGTTTGAGCGAAGGTCCAGAACGCCACGTCCCACCGCCAAGAGCCAGCATGTTTGGCACTTACGGGCCAGATGAGGGTCAAGCAAGTGCGAGTTGAGAGCTCAGGCTTCCCATGGCCCCTCGTCTGTCGAGCTCGCCAGGCTCTCAGAGATAAAGCGTTTGCTCTGCGGTTCTCGTGATGGGCAGTGTGGAAGCTTGCAGTGTGCGCGAGCATCAGTCATCCTCGGCTATATGGCTCAAGCTAGGGGGTCTTACAGTCGCATATCGCACGACTAATGCACAGAGAAGCCCTGAGTTGTGCTGCATCGCGGGATCGATATGTGGTTGGCAGAGGGCGAGTCTCGTTGGTATCTGATTGGGGTAGACATGTACCGCACAGATCATGGGCTGAGTTTCTAATGGATGCTGGGCCGGCCGGATGCCGGGCCGCCAGGTTTTTCTTCACGGCGGCCAGACATTCCAGCAAGACATCCAGCAAGCTTACGTAGTATGGAGGCGCTAGCCGCAATGGACGTTCCAAAGCTCAAGACCATGCAGGCAACCCTGCTCAGCTTCACCCGAGCGATCAGATACGTTGTGAGCTCAACTTTCACCTGGCAGGTGCACTGCTGCGCAGTGCGTTTGTGCGCTTTGGTGTACTTTTTTGCATTCCTTGGGCTTCTGGGCGGCAGTAAGTTGCTGGGCGTTGGACTTGCGCGAGCTTGTCTATCTGAAGGAATGTGGTGGATGGACCCATTATTTGGCTCGTCACACCTCCGACGCAGTACAGTGCTGCCCAACTGGTCACTTGGAGCCAAGTAGCGCTGCTGCCAGCAGCCTTAGCCTTCCTGAGGCTCGGTCATGTCCCAGAACATATTTGTCGCATCTCGTGAGCGTTCGGGCGTTCTTCTCGTGGCCTAGAACCCCAAGACTTGGGGAAACACAAAAAAAACATGTTGGCCAAATTGGTCATTTCAGGCAGTCCAAGTTATACTTTGCCACTCATGCCTCCTGATCACTCATCAGCCATGAAGGCCCTGGTGCTGGCCGGCACTAGCCTTTTGCTGGTGGGTATGGCACTGGCAGCACAGATATGGTGGGGTTTGGTTCTTCTTCGGGTGGGACGCGATGATGGATGAGATTGGATTCTTGGCTTGCGTCCTCTCTGCAACCCTGACGCTCTATGATGATGTCGACGTCGAAGGTGCAGAGGCGCAGCTAGCAACATGCCGTGGCAAAGCAGCAACAGAGCAGACTGCAGTTCGCTTGACCTAGCTTTGCAGGCTGTGGCGGACTTTCCTTTGGAGCCATCAGAGCCCCCCTCTGAGCATTTGGAGGATCAGGAATCAGAACCATTGCTTGACCGTGCAGCGCAGAGACTAGCAAGAAGCAAGAGGCAGACACAAATCATGCAGGAGACACAGCCTGCACTGCAACCCGAGGAGGGTTGTGCGGGATGGGGTGACCAATGGGGTGGGCCTGTCGGAATTGCAAGTGTTAACTTGACAACGGACCACCACCGTGACAGCTTCATTGGATCTTCTGAGGGGCCCGTCCCGGGGAGTTCTAGCAAGTACGGTGCAATGTCAGGGGTCAAGTCTCCAAATGAACGCCGTAAACCCTGGCAATACAAAGTAGTAGAGGTGGGTGTCCTATAGACCCGCCGCGAAAGCCAAAACGCAGGCCGCGAAAGCTTGCGAAAGCATTTTGCGAAAGTGCCTTTAGAAGGTCCCTCCGCGAAAGCCCCGCGAAAGCCTGAATGTTCATGATGGCGGGAGTTGCTTTACATAGTCTTGCATTTGGGGCGCACAGCCGTTTGTGGAACTCACTTTGCAGAAGGCCAATGGCCATCGTCAAAAGGAACCTGCAGCTTTTGAGCTCATGCAGTCCAAAGGGTGTGTTTCGAAAAGTCCGCCGCATTGCTAAAGAAACCGAAGCCCGCGAAAGCAAAACATGGGGTCGCGAAAGCATCGCGAAAGGGTTCGCGAAAGCAAGTTCACAGTACCGCGTTTCACACAGAGTATTCGGCACGGCTCTAATGATAACAGATATAGGAGGCGGGAATTCTTGGCAAGGCGTGCGATAAATCACTCTCAAAGCATGCGCCGCATGATGGACACCATCAAAAGTTGCGAACATAGAATGCCGAGCTCAAGATGCATTTGTTTGGCTCCAGGGATGAGGCGGCACGGCGGTACTGTAAGATGGGCTTCCCTTACGCCCAAACCACTCCCGAAATCGTTTCTTGATGTAGCTGTGAAGGTGGATGCCCTCGTAAGCCTTTGCAGATCCAGTCCTATGGCAACCTTTATGCCGCTGTTTGCCAGGGCAACCAGGGATCGACCTTGAGATCAAGGAGGAAAAGACCACCGTCCCAGGCCAGAAGTATGCCTTGCTGTGGAGGTGGGACGCGGAAAACGTAAGTGTTTGATTTGTGGAGTTTTAATTTTTTTGCCAAGATCCAGCAAGGGTTCAAAGTTAAAGGCGTGTTGAGGGTGACCACTGGGCACTCGAACACAGGAGGCTCCTTTCCTCCCCGCGCGAACACCGGCGAACTGTCGGATTGACCAGGCCCTTTGCGCCCACATTCTCAGCTTCAAAAACTGGCCCATTTGTTCTTGACCCTTGATTCTGTTCTTTCCCTCCAAAATCACAGGACGGACGGCCACCTAAAAGCCTAGGCGTTCAAAAGAACATCCTGCCCGCGGCAGCGGGGCCATGCTCTGAAATGCTGCGCCCCCGTGCTGCGCCAGGATGATAGTCCAGAAGCACAGGCCAGAGTTTGTCAGCACGGGCTTTGTGCAAAGGGATGCGGTGTGAAAGGAGTGGCCAGTTCTGCGTATATCCAATCCTTGATGTTTGCAACCGGGGCAGGCGGACTTGCCGAGCACATCTTGGTGGCAGATGCTTTGGGTGTCAACAGCGCGCAAGTCGCCATCAAGGTTTCAGCCATGCAAGCCAATAGTTGAGCCTCAGCGCTGCCTGATGCATGCTTTGGATTTCCTTCGGTCTCACGTAAACGGCGAAGGACTCCTCCAGCTATTCCAGCTCCACTTTTGCAAGGCTAATGGTGCATCTGAGGATTGGTGCCGCACAATCGCAGAGCTATCCTTGACTCTGGCTGGCTTCAGACTTTTTCTGGCCGCTGGGCTCTTGAAAAGGCGAGTTGGCAGTGCCTGCTGGAAGGACCTGACCTGCCTCTATGACCATTATGAGACGCAGCCAATGCCGAATCTAGCTTCGTGGTACTTTCACAACTTCACCCCGCATGGTCTGATGAGATTGATGCAATGGTTTGCCATCGACCTTGCCGAGTGCATGGTTCCGTTTCTGCTGCTGGGATTCCTTGTCAGCATGGGGCCCTTGGGGCTGCTACATGACCAGCTGCTTTGCAGCGAGCAGTGGTTCCTGCGAGTTCCGGCAAAATTCCCGGGCCGCTTAGTGGGAGCGAGTGTCATCATGACCTTCGTCTTCGGAATGTTTGTCGGGGGGAACTACGCGTTCCTGCACCCCTTGGCAGTGGTTTCCCTGGTGGCATCGCTTGGCACGGTCCGTGGCCTGCCAGTGACACGCCGACCATCTCCGGCACTCATGCTTTACCAATCCTTGATGCCCTGGCTTCTGATTCTGTTGCTGCTCTTTGCTTTCCTGCCAAGCCTGCGCGCGTATGCACCTGGGCAGGCTCTTTTCCACAAACAGCTGGACTGTTGTGCGAGTCGGCAGCTGCCCCCGCCCCCTCCCGCTTAAAACCGAATCTTTCTATGTGAGCGCGGGCTTGGGGTTTCGAGGCGAAGGCTTCTTGAAGGTTAAACGGAGGAAGCAGGCATTCGATTCAGCAAGCAAAGGGTCAGAGGAGACCTTCGGATCCACCTCCCCCAGAAAGGCTCTCAGAACCCTTCTCAGAACTCAGCTTAAGAAAGCTCTACAAAGCTTTAGTGCGGTTGGGGGCCAAAGAGGCGGCCTTCCCAAGTCGCAGCAACAATATTGGGTGTTTCCTTTATGTGGTTCCATTGTGTTTGCTTCCAGGCATGGCTGTGGTCCGGCAGCGAGAGGGTGGGCTTTCTGGAACCACTCATGCAAAGCGACTTCGTAATGGCGGCATCTGGGATGAACTTGGGGATTCCCTACAATCGCCATGCTTACTTCGCTGGGATGGTCCACGATCGCAAGGAGTGGCGCAGTAGCGTTAGTGTATGTTGGGCTCATGAGATTGCCCGAATCCACAACTTTGGGGCCAGCATCGGCCTGAACTGAGGATGGTGCTGTTTGCAGATGTAGGTGATGGCTCCCTGGATGCGAAGAAGTGATTGCAGTCTTTGGAAAGCTGCATCTGAATTGCCAACAGTCCTTCCAAATGCTGGCAGGGTATGTTGAAATGGACATTCCTTACAAAGTGGGTCGCGCACTTAGCAGCGTTCTACGCCATGACAGTGTGTCAGCTGCAGAGACCTTAGGTAGTGTGGGGCGAGCTCCCTTGCAAACTAGCCCCCTGCATCGGCGCTTTGCCTGGCAATGGTGGTTTCTTGGATTGGGCAGCTTGGCGCGACATTCCATGGGCTTTGTTGCATCGTTTCCGGAATCAGCAGATGCGTGTGGGGAGGGCGGGTGCAGCTGAAGCATGGATTCTCCCCCCCCCCCCCCACCCCCCTGCATTTGCGCATGCGTGTGTTCCGCGTCAGAATGTTGGCCACAAACGTTTTTATACCGTTTGTTTGCATGGCTAAGTAGCCGTTCCTGGCAAACAGCACAAGAAAGAAGGCCAGCAGTTTTGGGGCACCACGGCCCCGTTAGTCTCTGGCGCGTGGCTGCAGAATCCAAGGCCAGGATCCATCTTGGCTCGTCTCCTTCATGGAGCAGCTTTGCAACGTGGCACAGTGGGATTTTTGCGCATCTTGTTGTGCAATGCCACCCGCAACGCCACATGGAACCACCCACCACACCCAGTGCACCTGTCGGCACAGCGCCGTTGCTGGGGTCATGGCCCCGCAGAAGACTTGTTGGGATGACCCAGGCAGCAGAAGTCAGACAGCGTGGGCTGCGGTTGAAAATAACAGTACAGTGCACGACAACCTGGACAAGCTGAAGAAAGTTGCGGTGCAGATGTACCAGTACCATTTCTCAAAGTGCCGGGGCATCACTATTGAGAACCAGCCAGCCATTCCAAAGGCAAATACGTTAGGGATCCCCTAAAAACGAAGCCCCAGTTCAACCCATTCCAACGCTCCAAAGGTCTTCACAGGAAGCTGAGGGATGCATTTTGACAGCTTGGATCGTTGTCCAAGGCCCGGATCGCAAAGCTGGTGGGAAAGACATGCAAGTGGACAGAGGATGGAGATCGCTTGCTGAGGACTCTCCTGTTAGCTTAAGCCAAGTGATGTCATAGCTCTGCCAGTTAAGCTTAGACGAGCGGTGAGAGCTGGCTGGAGGGCTCGCAAAAGTGCTTGCTTTCATGCAGTCCCGTGGAGCCGCGAAACCGCTGAGGCGTGAGTTTAACAAAGTCGTGCATGCGGAATGTGGGGAAAATCCAGGCGAAACAACTTTGTATGAATTATGAGCTTGTTATTTTACCCCATTTGCTTGTGTAGTGAAGTTGTTGCAGCATGTTGCAGCTTTGAATTTTGACGCCCTGGACAGCGGCGTAGTGGAAGGCAGCCATGATTTGGGCAATGCTCCACGACTTGTGTACGCTAACTGGGAGTTCCGCTTCGCGTGTTGCCTTTTTGCTCTCAAGCCTCAAGTTTTCTTTTTTGGGGCGACTCTGAATAGTGCCGATTCACTTCGGCAGTTTCACCTGCACCATGGGACACACTGACGTATTGCCTTTCCTCCTGGGGGAGAGGAAGAGGGAATCTGCCAAACCGGCCGAGATCTGCATCGCACCCTGTGACAAGGCAGCCGAACCATCCCCGTGCAGCAGTCACAGCACCGAAGTGGGTGAGAACAAGCTTCGGGATTTCTCCCGGGCCAATTCCTTTGAGAGCGAGGAGCCGCTCTCTTACCTCAGCAAAGAGGCGCGAAGTGACTCGTTTGAAGCTTCTTTTACACCCAGCTCTACCTGGTGACCTCGCTTAGGGCAAATGCAAACATTGATAGCTTGCGGGAACTGGTCTCCCGCACGCCTTTTGCATACCATCCCTAACATGCATAGGAGGCTGCCACAAAAAGAATGCTCACCTGACACGGTAGGATTGCGCTGATCTTCTGTTGTAAGTGATTGGCTGGCTCTGTGTGCGTAGGCTGCCTTGCAGCTTCAGCAGGGCTTGCTCGCGGCCTACACATCAGCCGGCTTTCAGAAGCGACTCCACGAGATGAGCAGGACCAATGGCAATTTGTATTTTGTCGCAGGCCATGGCTTGATTGGTGTGGATGTTTGACTGCGAGGCCGCGAGTGGGAAGGGATGACTCCTTTGCCTTGAACAAAAATTGGGTCCCGCTAAGTTTTGTTTTTCTGTTTTGCGGCCTGACCCGTGTCCGCTTGAGCGCAAGAGCAACCTGCAACAAGACCATAGATCATGATTCTTGCGTATCACGACTTTGACGCCAGGAAGTTCAAAGCGCAGCGCGTGGATCCACACCTCTCAGCTGACTTCAAGCTGTTGGTGCGCACACAGCAGTTCCAGATCCTCCCGCTGTACGGCTTTGATCCTTCAGAGCAAGGCGGGCCTAAGAGGGCAGTGGATAGGTTGTTTAGGAGGCAAGGGATTTACCGAAAGCTGAAAGCTGGAAAGCGGAGCGGCACAGCGGCGATGTCAGCTTGCGCACTGCCGGTCCCACACTTTCTCCCGCCAGGAGTTGAGGACATGCTCCAAGCCTTCGAGGAGTTCAAAGATGATCCTGACATCTATGTCAATGCTTCAGCGATCCAAGAGGCCATCTTCAGCCCATGGCAGGAAAGCCACCCTAAGGCCATCGAATCCATTGGCTTCGCAAGAAAGCCTGGAACCAAGGTCACCATCATGGAAATGTTGCAATCCCTCCTCATCTCGTTCAGCGAGCCTCATTTTCAAGAGGAAATTGCAAAGCTCAAGCTTGACTACGATGCCTTAGCTGGGCGTTGCACCTTTGCAAACTTGTCCCAGAAGGTGTCGGTGCCAGACCCCCAAGGCTATTACCATCTGCCGGGCAGAGCCGAGCTTGCCCTTCAGTTGCAGCAGCCCGTCCTTACCTGCTTCGGCTTCTCTCCCACACGGGGCGGGGTGTGTGACATGGTCCGGCACTGCGTGCCTTACCTGTCGGATCTGGCGGTGGCAGAGTTGTTCGACAACATCAACATGACCCTAGGCAGCATTTTCATTGTTCTTGGTCTCCCTGGGGCTGTTGGCAGTGTTTTTTCCTCCGACTGTTTGCCAACTAATGATAGGGCGGAAGAATTCAGGGCGTCTCTCAGACATGCGCCCTTCACGCCAGCAGCTCGAACTAGCTTTGCAAGCAGAGCTTTGCACAGTTGGGAACTTGGAAGTGCATTTGACATTGCTTGCTTTCTCTGCAATGCGCTAGCAGTAGTGGGGATGCTGGCATCGCTTGCATGGCCTTCAGTCTTTAGCCGGTGCTGGGTGACGCTGGCGAGCCCACTATGCTAACGAATGCGTTTTGATGACTGACCAGGATTGTGATGTGCCACCGAGCTGCGTTCTTTTCCTTTCTCTTGAAACACTTGAATCTGCTGGCTGGCCAGCTCGCGCCCTGAACCACGTGAACTCATCTATCAAAGCAACTTGTTCATGATAGCAGCGAGCCTGGGCACTTGGCTTGTTTTCATGGGCGCTGCCCCTGAGTTCACTTAGATTAGTGCCACGACCTATGGCCGCACGGGTTTGCGCCTTTGTTTTCTGCGTGGCTGCGCGCAAACATTCGTAGTGTGCCGCGATTGTGATGATGCAGCTGTGATGGTCGCGGCCTAAATATTTCTTGTGTGCGCAACTCCATTTTCTTACCCAGTGATTCACAGGGCATTGGCATTGCTTGTTGGCGCCCTGTTGCGCACGTAAGTCTGATAAGTCGGGTTTGTCTTCGCCCTGTGTGTGTGAATACTTTTATTTACTACCCTTCCTTTCCCGCAGTGATGGTAATCAGTAATTTTCCAGCATGAATGATATACCTATGCCAGTTCTGTTAATTTGTAGACTTGTAGAGCTGCATCTCACTGCCATGCGGGTATAAACATAAGTACACACAGGCGACGCACTCAATGTGAAAGTAGCATTCGCCGAAGCCGGCTGAGATCTTTTCGCGAAAAAGGCGCTCCTGTCGCAGCAAACGGGGTTCGTCAAGTTGGTAGCGGAGCGCTAGGCTCCTTTCCTGGGGCCCGCCGTGGCGTGCATCGCCAAGGAGGGATTGTGACCCAGTCCAGCTTGGTCCCTGTCGGCAGGGCTGCCGTGGGCGGCACCACCCCTTGGACCACGGCCTTGGAGCACTGAAAGACCAGCTGGCCCGGGAGGCCAATTGGTTGCCGTGACGGCCCTGAGCTCCGCAGGCCCCCGAGTGTCCGGTGACGACGTAGACGTCGTCCCGTGCCAATTGTTGCACATGTTGGAGTTCCCAAATCCGGGAGCCACAGTAGTGGCATGTTCTGCTCGAGCTCATGCATCCTGTGTTTGTTGGAGTAGTCGAGGTTTTCGTTGACAATGTTTCGTTGGTGGACTTGGTGTTGGCCAAGTAGACCAGGGGTCGTAGGTGCCGTTGAGCTTCACGAAAATCTCGTCGCTCTCAAGCACAGAGAGAAGGTTGAAGGAGATCTGTCCGAGGTCTCCGCCTTCTGGGACTGGTGGGTCATGACATCTTGCTGGGTCGTCCTGGTTCCAAAAGTTGGAAGGCGTCCAGGGGCTGGTTGTGTCCATTTGCTGCAGTGCTGGCACTTCGCGAAGCGACCGTGGCGGTTCCCGTGCCTGACCATGTACTGGTGGAGCTTCGCTGCGGAGACTCCGAGTTGACTCCTCGAAGAAGCCGTTGCCTGTCGCGCTTATATGAGGGTCTGGGAGACCATGTGCCTCCATCGTCGCAGCCATGCTGGCGTTGGCGTGGCATGCCCGGATGCGGGATGGTGACTGCTGGATGACATGCGCCTCATCCGTGATCAATCCGGCACGTGTGTCGCTTGCAAGGCAACTGTCTTTTCATGTGCTGAGGAGCAAAATCTTCGACTCATCATTCTCGGCTGGCTCGCCCGGGAAGTTGGATCATTGGGGTCGTCCTCACCATCGCCCTCACCCTCCGGGATGATCGGCGTGTCGCCGTAGCACTGGTCGCCTCGGCCCTCGTGACCTGAAAGATCGACCTTTTCAAGTGGGGCAGAAAGAGCTGTCAATCTCTGAGCCGCTGACTTCAAAGGCAAGGAGTTCACACTGGAGAAGAAGGGAAGGGACCTCATCCTGTAGGTCACCCAGAGCAAGTTCCTCAAATGGACGTCGTCGCCCAACACCAAGATTCCTTCGCAGCCGTCAACAAGCAGAACTAGCTGCACGTGCGAGCCTCACCGATCGACGGCACGAGAATACCGCCATGGAAGCTGTCCATGCTCTATGACTTTGCGAGAGCACCTGTTTTTCGCAAAGGATTCCGCGTTCGGTTTTTGGAGGCATGACCCACTCCAAACCAAAAACTGTGGCTGGGCTATGTTGGAGCAAGTTTCGCGAAAGATCTTGAATCTTGTTCGCCTTGGTGGTCTTCTTGCACGTTCTTCTAGCAACACGTGAAACGCTTGCTTGGGCTTTCATGTGCCCTTCCTTTCCCTTGTCGCGATTCTCTCGGAACCTTGTTTGTTTTCTCCCTTTCTTAGCTCTTTGCCCGGTGCTCTCGCGACAATCCGCTCCTCTCCGCCTCAGCAGGATATCAGCTAATATAATTACCAGGACCGGAGTTGGACCGGTTTTGAGCGGGGATGTGGCTGGTTTCGAGAAAGAATTTGACGCAGGCCGCGTAGTTTTTTTGCGTAGGAACTGCTTCCGCGTAGGCTGAAACCTGTAAACGTGCAGCTGGCGTAGGCTCGCGCAGGCTTTCGCGGAGTTCCCCTTTTCCTGTACCCCAAAATGCTCTGCACATCTCTGCTTGGCCAGGTGGAGGGGTCCTTCTCAAACAAGACCCCGGAGCCTTGGGGGATTAAGGGTGGAGTTTTTCGTGAGTGCTTGTAGACAAATCTGCCACCCTTGTTGCGGGCTTCGATGCTGATTGTCCACTGCCCCATGCGCCCCACCGTCTCACAACAGACTGATTTGTGTGCCACTTGCGTGCAGTGCTGCGACAACAGCAACGGGTTGGGCGAACCTGTTTACCCGCTTGCTGCTGCGCGCGCGATGCGCAGACTTCACAACATGCTTCTTGTAAAGGAGTGCGGTCATGGCTGATGCGGTAACCATGGTAACCATGATTTCAAGGCGCAGGCGCACGCGCAGGCGCACGCGCAGGCGCAGGGGCGCACACACACACACACACTTGATATGAGACGGCAAGACTGCGAAGGTGCACCCACGAAACGTAGGAGGACGAATGCACGGAATCAGGTTGGAGTTTCGGCATGGCTCACTCAGGTCGTCGTTCCCGACAGCGGGCATCCTCTTCAACGGAGTGCCAACAACCAGCTGTCAGTACTTCACGCCGTTGTTCACCATGGTGGCACCCGACTCCAAACACAAAAGGACAGCGGAAGCCCCTTAGAAACAGGGGGGCCACACACACCCCCCCGCAGGGAAAGAACACAGGAAACCGAAAGGCCGCCTCCATCATGATGCTCGATGGGAGATTTGGTCACTTTTTTAAATCCTGCCTGTGCGTCTGGGCGCGCATGTATCCCACAGTATTAAAAAGCCAAGTTTCTTAAACAAGGGCCAACCAGGAACCCAGACAGCAGGGGCCCCCAGAGACAGAAGCAAAACAGAAAACCAAAACCATGCCAAGACATACACCGGCGGCGACTGTTTGCGGACTTTTTGACTGTGGCCGAAGGGACGCATAGCTCCCATCTGAAGTTCAAAAAGTCGAGGCCCCAAACCCGTGGTAGAGCTGCACCTGTATCACCGGAGACGACTGGATAGGCTATGTTGGGCACGTTCAGGTAGTCTTCTGATGCTGTTCCCGAGCTTTCCTGAGGCGTTCCAGGCTCTTCCAGCGCTGCGTGACATCCGCGATGGACCTGTTGAGCTTCTTGGCCAGCGATTTGTACGAGTACTTGGACATCGGAATGAGCATGAGCCGGAGGTTCAGGAAGGGATTCAGGAGAGGATACCAGGCCAGCGCAGGGAGAGACCGGAGCTGGAGCTGGAGTACGAGGTGCTGGACGTGCTGGAGGTTCCGGCGAGTCCGTCTTCTCGGAGGATGTAGCGCGGCATCGCTTTCGCTTGGTTCTGCGTCGATCGGCCTCACCCTTGTCCATTATAGAGCGAGGAACATTGGCCTTCTTGAAGCCCGGCTGACCAACGTAATCGTGCACCATGGGGCTCTTCGAACGCAGATCTGTAGGGTTGTTGGTGTCCGCCGCGATGATGCAATAGGACAACGACTTGGGGTTGACCGCCACATTCCGCCTGTGGCCTGCGTGTGACTGAATTGATTGGAATCCGACATGTGGTGGAGGGTCGGTCGGAGATGCTGGGTTGACTGGAGTCGACATCGGCGGGCCAGGTGGGTTTACCTCATCGGCTCCAACAGGAGCAGGTGCGTGTGGCCGTGATGGCTCGGCCAGCGACCGGCCGTGGACATAATGTTGTTGCCCGCGGCCTTGCCCGTCGACTGCGTGCCTCGTCAGCTTGGTTCAAGGTCTCCTGAATGAGCTGCATCATGTCACCAGCGTTCTGGGTCATGCGGTGATGAAGCGCTATCATGCGGCCGAGCATGGCGACAGCTTGCGGAGGTCCGCAGGAAGTGCAGCACTGTTTGAACCAGTGAAGGAGCACCAGGGACAACACGGACATCAAGAAACAAGAAAAACTAAGAAAAACAGGAAGAACAAACGCGGACACATGAGGGTAAAGAACCAAAAAGGCAGGCGCTTGAGGATTCTTTCGTGTTGGAGTCGCCGGTAGGTGAAACAGGTGTTGCAGGTCAGCTGACTTGTAGCCTGCGGACAAATAGATGCTGCGAAGCTGATCCAGTGCCATCTGTACTGCCCTGGCCGGATGCGCGTACTTGGTGGCAAGGGCTGACCGTGACCTAGCTCCTGAGAGGAGGATGGAGAGGCTTCCAGCAGTGCGTGGTCCTCTTATCTGCCAGATTTTTGCAGGGGTTTTGTAGTAAATAGACCGGTCGCCGACATCGATGACGAAAGCCGAGGAACTCTGAAGACC